ATGGTTAGTGTCAGAAGTGAGAGCTCTGTCACCTTCACACCCCGGGGATGTACTGGCGTGGAGCAGTCGCTAAGGTCTGCTGCGGGGTGGCCCACAGATGGCAGGGTGCTGTTCTGTAGTAGTCGTCTCATATTTTACAGCCCATGGATCAACATTCAGTGGGATGAGAGCTAGGTATCCCCAAAGCAGTTAACAGACCTCGTGAGGTGGGCTCCCAGGAACCAGCGGTGTGATTTCCTCCTGCGCTCACAAGTCAGCTGTGGATTTTAGTGCTGCTCAGTTTTCTTGTAGAAGTCAGCTAACCTAGGCAATGAGTTTGGGAAATTAATTTTTGCTTGATGGCTTTACACATAGCTTGCTTCGTCAGAGGCCCAAAATTGTTTCCACAGGGATCTATTTAAATGTGTTGAATTGCTAGGGGGTGAGTGCTCACATCTCATCCAGATCCCTTTACGGGGAATCTCAGTGGAGCTGAAGAACTGAATGGCTTAGAGAAAGCAGAATTCCCATGTCTAGAACGAGTCCTTTGCAGGCTGGACTGAGGCACCATGGTGGAACAACACAGATGAAGTATGTGCTCTCACATATGCTGTGTCTTTTTTGAGGTTTAAGGTAGGGCTTCGGTCCTCTGGCTGCTTAGTTTAGCTTTATCTGAGAGGCTGAATTCACAAGGTGTTTTCAGTAAAATAGGGTAACAAAATCCTCCGAGTCCTGTTTTTCTGATGACCAGTGTATGTAGGTACTGGGCAACTTTGTGCTGGAAGTGCTGCAAGATGTTCTTTCAAGATTCGGTTTAGCCTTATTTCAGCAGCCACCTGGGTCGCAAATGTATTTGTCATTCCAAAAACGTGAACTGGGCCTTGCTCTGCATCCCAGTCAGTAATGGGAGTGATGGTTTGGGACCAGCGGAGAGGTTGTACACACCAGGCTCTCAGCTGGCTCTGGTAAGAGAACATTCTTGGTTTTCCTTTTCGGCGTCCCTCCCTCCACCACTCTTTAACCTTGTTCTGCCAGACGGAGCGTTTGCTGCCTCTGTTCCTCTGCGTGCATCCTTGTCCTGCTGCTTTGTTTACAGTGCTTCCAGCATCAAGAGGTGGTTTTGTTCATTAGTGCAAAGTGCGGTAGATAATCATCTAGAGCCAGATCTGCCCTAACAGATTACTACAGCAGCAACTTAAAAGGTGCTCAGTTTTTCACATCAGCCCTTGCACTTGCCTCCTAGGCTTCTTATTTCCTGGGTTTGCTGTTCCGTGGTGTGCTACACCAGGAAGGCCTGCGCGTACTCACACCTGACCCCCTCAGCACTGGCATGCTCGGAGGATGTGTTTGAACTGTGTTATGTCAAATTGCTGGATTTCTATGGAGGTAGCATTCCAATGAAGATAATGATCTATTTATTCTCTTGCTAATGACATTGTGAGCTCTCTGGTATTGATCATTCGAAGAGATGACGCAATGACCATTCTGCACAGAGATGTGGTCTGCATGGGATCTGAGCGCTCCAACAGCGGCACTGCTGCAACCACAGCAGAGCACGGGGGTGGGGGGACACTTTCGCTGCAGGTCACTATCTTTGTTTCATCTGCCTCTTTCTGATATGACATCCTTCCTCGTGCAGAGCAGGAAGAGCATACCAAATTGCCGGACAGACAGCAGAGTGGTCTGTTTTGTAACAGCCCTTTAAAAGTCTTCCATCTTGTGCTGTGGCTGAGTTTGCGGCGTGTCCTGCACAACAGATTACAGGGAAATGTGGTGTTTGGAAGCCCTAGTCTCCTTTCCTGATTTACTGAAGTTTTCTGTCCCTTCTTTCTGAACGAGGATTAAAATCACCACTCACTTTTCCATAGGAATTAAAAAATCCTTGGTGCATACAGCTGTGTTTTATAACTTCCTTTGTTTAAGGGCTGAGGAAAGACCATGGGTGAATATACGTGCAATAAGAGTTAGAGCTCCTGGAGCAGAGGACATGCTCTGAGCACTGCTGCAGACATGTGTCACTCAGAAGGATAAGAGACATTCTCTGGCTTCAGTCAGCTAATACATTTCTGTTGTTAGAAATGGCTGAGGATCAGAGTTTGTCAGGTGTAATGTAGGCCACCTTCCAGTCCTGCCAGAAGCCAGACACTGCGGAGAAAAGCAGAGAGGATTTTAGGAGCAGTGCCAAAACCCTCTTAAATTAAATGTACCGATTTCTTGTTCTTTCCCCTTTTCTCCTGACTTTTTAATTTTCTCTGTATTTCTGAAGTGAATTTAATACTTGTGAAAAGTGCCAGAATCTCTGCTCCGAGACCCGCTGAGCGTATATCAAGGTAGACGAAAGCATTGATTGCTGCAGGAGAGCACGAGGCTCATGAGTTTGAGTTACTTCAGCTAGGTCGTACCTGAAGCAAGTCCATCTATTAGAAATTATTGACATCATCCATCCCACAGTTACCAGTAATTACTGAGCTGTGTTACCCCAGTGTAATTGCTGCAGCCTGACAGCAGTGCTGTGCCTCATGGCTACAGCCTGGGAATGGATTCGAGAGAGCCTGGGCTCTACTCCACGGTGCTCTGGCTGTAGCACAGATGGTCCTGAGCGATCTCCTTCCGCTGTGCCTAACCAGAGCTGCAGTCCTACCTTTGGACTGAAGAGCCGCCTAACTCCTCCGTCTCTTTTCATCTTGCCAGTAACCATCTCTGTTGTTTTTTTGTTTTGTTTTGTTTTGTTTTTTTCCACTGCTTTGCAGGTTCTTAAAATCTTAGCCCTTCTTCCAAAGGCTTTTTCCCACCCTGATCTTTTTTTTCTACAGGTGTCTCTCTTCTATGCTGCAGTGTTTTCTTTTAACGAGTTTCAGTCCCTCCCCTGTGCCTTCATACTCAACCTGTTACTTCAACCCAGTGTTATCTTCAGATCTTAAGTTTATAGCTTCTGTTCTTTCTAAGACAGCACATTCTGTTATTTAATGCACAAATGCATGGCCAGATGCAATTTATGGTACCAGATGATACCAGAAGGAAGTTACGTAGTGCTAATTACTGCCCTGCCCAAAATGCTTCAGAGTAAATTCTCTCAGTAGTGGGGTAAAGAAGAGTAGTCGATTAGATGTATTTCCGTTTGTGTTGTGATCAAACGGAAGGTTTCAGAGCTGGAAAAAAGTTGTGTTGTGATCTCCTGACTGCACGGAGCACAAAGGTTATTCCTGGTACTGCGCTGTCACTGGCAACTTGTTTTATTCACAGTCATTCAAGTCTCCAGAAGATGCAGAGCCACAGGAAACAGCTCAGCAAGCACCACAATAAGAAGGGGCTGACACGTGTATGTTGCTTGAGGATTTGCCCAGTCTAACCCCATCAATGTCCTTCCTTTTTTTTTCTTCTTTACTTTTTTTCTTTGTTAGAAATCGAGGAGGTGAGTTTAGTTTCCTAGTAGGAAAGGAGGAGGTAAGGAAAAATTGTGCCATTAGGACATTTTGTTCCTCTCTGCAATTTAAAATCAATTTAACATTGTTGTCTAGGAAACCAAGTGGCCTACAGAAGGATGAAGGATGTCCTCTTCCCTCTTTCTCCCTCTGCTTTCTCCTAAAGTGACATTAAATGCAGTAGCTGCCTCCATTCAACTTTGCCTTTAAGAGCTTCATGAGATAACGTACCAACGCGTAACTCACTGCCAGCACAAAGGTGATAACTCGTTCTTTCAGGAATTGTCTTAGATCTTCCCTCCGCTGGGTTTATTTTAAATATTGAGACCTCTCATCTCTGCGTTTCTGGCTTTAAACACAGAACAGCAGCTGGGCCTGTTTAGGCATCTGAATCTCAGGGAAGGAGAGGAAGTGAAGAGCTTGGCCAGGGCTCGCAGGCAAGTCCTGACACCTGCGTGTGCTCTCCAGAGCGACACGATCTGCTGAGGCTGGAAGTGTTCATTCCATTTGATACAGGCTCACTGTAGTCCTTGGCAGGCTACTGGCTTGCTTCTTGGCTGGGACAGTTCATTACCATGTGGAAGGAAAGTAATTGATTTAATGATTGCTTTGCAGAACTGGGCAGCCCAGACAGAATCGGGACAGCGCTGAAGTAGGAGCTATATAAAAACCCGAGGCACTTCCCTCCAGCAGTGAAAAAGCATTCCTGTAAAAGATGAGAATGGGGTGGAGGAGGCTCGTTCCTGCTTCACCTCCCAAGGCCTTTTGCTTGCAGTACCTGTGCTGGTGCCCAGCCCTTCCCTGCCTGCACCAGTCCTTTGCCCTCTCTGTGCCACGTGCAAGTGGGGAGCCCCAGGCGCGGTGCGTGGCAGGGAAGAATCTGTGGGCACCTTGGGTGGCTCAGGATGTGCGAATAGGGGCTGCTTAGAGGGGCTTTTCTTGTTTTCTCTGTTGACAAGAAGAGAGGGTGGCAACACTTCCGACTGGACCTGTAACCACCTAGTTTATTTTTGAGTTTGAATCCAAAGCTGTGAAGTCATCTGGATGATTCTCTAGAGCTACAAAGGGAAGTTAGGATTCCTGGATCTCTCTGTCTTGATCTAGTCTTCTTTCCTAGCCTGCTCAGGTGTTACCTCCCCTGTAGAATATTTTATAGCACTTTGTCGTGTCTAATTTGCCATCTGCTTTTCCACAGAGCCCTGCCTGTCAGCATCAGCCCTTACTGTGCATGTGTATGCGTCTCTACAGGCAGGGAACCTGGGGATTCTGGCTGCATCGGCTCCATCTGATGAATGGACCATTCTTTCAGACATCTGGTGCTATCCTGGGCAAACTTTCTTCTCTCTGCCTTTTTTTTTTTTTTTCCCTTTCTCTCCCTCATCCCCCACCCCCATCCACCGCCTCCTTGCTGGATCTGCAGCGTGACTGGAAACAGGCTGAATTAATCAGCAGCCTGGTGCTTCACTCTGCTGCTTCTGTCTCATTCTCTGCAGCGCCGGGCTCTGCACAGTCTTGCTCTCTCTCCCTCTTTGCTCTCTCGGTTTTGGAGGGCAGCAGCAGTGCAAGTTGCTGTGGAAGTGGCGCAGGAATTCAGCCCCGATGCTCTTTAAGCAGGCTGATCTCTGGATCCCCCGCCAAGGCAAATGCCGCAAAGTAAGTTTCTCTCCCTTAGCGTTTACATTCAAAATGGCTTTCCCTCTCTCCCTCCCCGACCTGCATCCTGCCTGACGTGATGGTGCATGAAGAGCTTGGGTGTTTTGGGGAAAGAGGTTAGGGCAGGACACGGAGCCGTGAAGATTTTAGCAAAGGGATGGTTTGGTGTTGGAGGGGCTGGGGAAAAAAACCCTGTTTGAAACTGCAGATTTAACCCTAGGACTAGCAGGAGGGACTGAAGATGATTTTAGCTGCTGACTCCTGCTTTGCTGCCCTTCAGCCTTTTGACTTAAATTTGTCTGCTTCTCTTATGTGCTTCGATCTGTAGCTGTTGATCCTCCTTACCCCTTTGAAACGTGCTTTGTGGTGCACCTGCTAGATCACATCATAGTTTTAGTCCCCAAAGTCTTCAGATGAAGAAATGGGGATGGGAAGGAAACTACTAGGAGGATGAAAGAATTGCTGAACTTCTATTAGTTCTATTGATTTCTGAGCATTGCTTGTCTCGGGGAGGGGATTACCATCCTCTGGAGTAAGCTCTGCATTGGCATGAAGCAGTACAGAGTGTGTCAAAGACAGAGTAAATACGGACCCCCACCTGGTCTCTGAACTTGAAGGAACACTGTAACAGGATAAATTAAAGTAATTAAGGCTTTAAAATGCACAGTACAGGTGAGCTTCAGAGCACTGCATAAACACTGCCTCATCCTGCCAGCAGCCTGGTGGAGCAGGTGACTGTGGCTGGGGATTTGCTGCTGCAAACAGGACCGAAGAGACAGACCGGGGAAGGTGCAATCAAAACAATCCTGCTGCTGAGCTGCTGCTGGCTGAGGGAGAAAGAAAGCGCTGAGCTTTGCATTACCCGTGTGGAAAGGTTGATTGTGCCTGTTGGCATCTCGCTCTGTGCTTTACAGAGGGCATAAAATCTGAATGTCATTGTCTGGAATAAAATGGACTCTGTTCGCAGCAACATGCAGCGGTGATTCAGCCGGCTGAGTAGTGCTGCTCTGGCCAGATCTCCGAGATCTGTGCTCCTGCTGCTCTGCTCCTTTGCTGTGTAGGGCTGCAGGCCCTGTTAGCGATGAGCTGCAGGGAGCCTCAAAGCCACCGTCCACACTGGAGCCCCCAGTTACCATGCTGTGGGGGCTCTTTTTTTTTCCTGGGACGGGCGGATTCGGGGCTGCCTTTCATCCTGTTGCTGCAGATGGAGGAACGAGACAGCTGTTGACTCCTGCTCTGCCCATTAATTCGGGCACTGCTGCGCTGCAGACTTGTTTCATTTGATTTGAGACCACCAGCAGTTAGGCTGTGGCTGCCAAGCTCGTGTCAGGTGGCATTTAAACCGCGTTTAAAAGCTGTGTTTGCCGTGCCTTCTGGTATGTTTCCTTGTACAGCCACTTTTAAAGGCAGGGGTCCCCGCAGAGCTCTGATGTGCTTGATGGAGCTGCCTGAATCACGCCATCAACTCGTATTTCTTCTTTCTGTGCTGCCAAGTAGCATTCAGGTGGGTTGGTGAATGTTATAATCTTCCTAATGCCTATAGTTGGTAGGGAGTTGGTAGTCCCATTATGGAGATGAGAAACTAAAGCACGGAGCAGCCTCTGATCTTCCTACTGTCACGCAGAAATCTGTGGCAGAAGGAGGAGCAGAATCCAGCTGCACCGACAGCCCAGATTCTCAGTCAAAAGATTATTCTTTATTGTGTGGGGAGAGGGAATGAGTAAGGGCGGAGGATTCAAGTGCTTCGGGTCACTGCGTGAGCACTCTTGCAGAGCCAGGAAGCTGACCTCTAAAAGTAACCAGGTAAGCACCAAGAAAGACAAAAAGCCTGACAGATCCAGGGGTGTAGGTAATAAAAGGAAACCTTTGCCCAGAGTGACCAGTCTGTTGGCTTTGCTGGCTACATCTCTGTCGCTCCGCAGTGGATATTGGGTTTCAGACAGTCTGAGCACTACCTCAGCAGCCACAGCTGGGCAGACCTGCAGAGCACTGCTGTACGATTTGCTTCAGAACAAAAAAAAATCCCTCCCTAGCACTAACTGTCAGAAATATTGCCCCGAGAAATCGCATGCTTTTGTGTGTGTGTCTGCCACCCTCCGCGATGGGACCGAAAAAAGCCCCACTGCGGGTCCTGTTGTGCCTTCTCCTAAGCAAGAGTCTGACTTTCCATAATGCAAATGCGTTTGGTGGAGTTATTCCTTCTTGTGTGGTTGTGAAGCTGTGAATAATGCTCGGATTTCAGGAGGTGTGATCTCTGAAGTAGATTAATAGCCTGCAAACTATTACTGTTAAATTAAAAACTGCCTTCATGTTTCTGCTAGAGGAATGCAGCTCTCAGAAAAAGGCAGGACATCCTCCTGCCCAGTTTCCCACCTCCAAGTGTTTAAATCTGAAAAGCAGCTGAGACAAAGAGTTAAAAAAGGGGCCTGGGGTGTGCAGCCTGGGGAGAAGGAAACAACCTGACAGTGCCTGGCAGGGGCTTTCCATCCCACTCTGAATCAGAGGTGGAATTGCAATCTATGAAAATTGAAGCTTCTAGCAAACCCTCTGCTTTCCATTCCTTTATTTGTTTAAACAGCCTTTTTACAGGCAGTTATAGCGAAGTGCACAGCAATCTGGGGGAGATCTCTTGCCTTTATTCTGCAAGAGACTGACTGCACAGAGGACAGGACAGGTCTACCACTCTGCTGGGTTCAATCAACCTACGTGTCTGCGGAGCCAGTGGGAAGGGCGAATTTTGTAAAGCCAAGCATATTTGTGTGCTCCAGTATTGTTTAAAAAAATCTTTGGCACATGGGATACAACAACTATTATATCAACACAGACTGCTACAACAAATCAATGTGCTGCTGTGGCTGTCTAAAGGTTGTATGAAAACAAGAGGACTTCAGGACACTAATATTTCATGCGAGAAGCAGGCACGGCAAGGTGGTGATGCTCGGGAACCCCGAGCATTTCTCCCCTGCCCCACCCTGCTGCAGGGGGAAAAATCAGAAAATCAGATCAATCTTTTCCTACCTATCCGTCTGCAAACACTCCATCAGCTCACGAGGAAGGTAAAGGAAATGTTTCACTTTGAGCAAGGCAAGGCTATAGATGTAAACAAGCTCCTGGACCGGTCTGCATTTGCCAACTTATTTCCCCACATCAAACTGGGGAGGGCCAACTGAGGGGAGAAGGCAGCCAAAAGTCTCCTGACTCTGTGGCTCCACTGCTGGCTCTGAGCTGCTTCTGATCTCTTTCCTGAAGAGCCAAAGCAGCTCTTCAAACCAAAGGGCAGCTGCTAGATCTAGCTCAGGTTCCCTTTCCTTGACATTTGCAGGCACGCTCAGCAGTAATTTAACATTTAGGACATTTACTGAAAGCAGAGAGAAGAGGAGCTCATTCGCTCATCTTTTCAGCCTCCTGTTCAGCCTTCAGCGCGTTCGTTCCTTCTAGAAAACAGCATCACGTGTACAGAAATACCTCCTGCTCCGGCTGCTTTTTCCTTAATGGCCATCCTGCAGATTACAGCCCTGAGAGAGGCACCATCAGGCAAGGCAGAGGGTAGCAATCATCCCACACTGACCCGGCCTCGGTTACACCTCTCGGGCTCCGGCTGTCACAGCTGGGGCCGGGTGAGCTCCAGAAGAGCCCTAAGTGCACTCACAGAGCCTCGCGTGCTCTCCGGGCCTCTCGGGGTAAAGGAGGAAGCAACTGCTCATTTTCTCCTCAGGACTTTTTCCCTTCAGGCATGGGCAAAAGGAAAGTACAGCCTTTTAAAAGGCCTCGTGATATCCATCAGGGCTTTGCTTTCACTGCAACCTGGAGTTCATTGCCTGTTTTTTTTCTTTTCTTCTTCTTCAGCAGAAGCCCCGTGCTGAATACAGGCAGCTGGGTGGGCTGGTGTCGTCTAGCTGTGTGTGCTTCGACTTGAAAGTTAGCAGATGAGTCTTTGAACGCGACTTTCCAAAGCAAAGATGTGAACGTTGGGGTTTTTAGTAATGAACTGACACCTCCGGTGAGTGGCCTTCTTCACCCCGGGGTGCTCACCTCCCATTCTGTGGCAGGAAGAGCATTTGCAGCTGATGAAAGGCTGCAGGGATCCCTCTGGGACAGCTTACGAGCGCCTCGCTTTGCCACGCGGAAAGGTTTACTTTGGGGCATCTGAAAAATGCCTCATTAGCAGCTGATGACTTAGCAGGGTAGATCTTGTTGCGAAAACCTACGGCTGCCCTTTGCAGGATCCCAGGGTGTCTTCTATTGCCTGTCCCTTTCTTTCTTTGGTTCCAAGTGCGTTCCCTTGATGCTCACCTACAGTTTTCTGAGTCACCACAGGCAGCCTCGCACTCACATTATTACCGTGTTTGTTTACCAGCCTGGCTCTGGCTGCCTGCTTCGCCAAATACTCCACGTTTTAAGCGTAAAGATGAGTGTTTGAGAATCTGCCCTTCCTGCTGTGCTTCCTCCTCAGCCCTGCCGCACTTTGCACTCGCCCTTCCTCACCTCCTCCGTCTGCCTCGCTTTGTGCCTACCTGCCCTTCCCTCGGCTGAGCCTACAGCAAAACCCTCCCAGCTGTGTGAAGGTGGGAGCAGGTGTGCAAGGATTTCAGGAACCTTTCCAATCCCCCCTGAATTTGCTCCCTTCTCCTGCTCGCTGCCTGCTGTGATGTTTCTCTTTCTAGGCAGTGTGTAGCTGCACTGGACGTTGGCGTTGAGCACAGCTTTCCCTTTTTGACTTTGCTTTTCAGTTCGAGTCCCCCTTACTCTTGCTGCGTTTCAGTTTGTCTTTTATTTACCTGACTGCTTTCTTTGTGTTGAAAAGAAAGAGTAAATGCTGTTGTGGGTGCTTTGCTATGCCACAAACAGCCAGCAGTGAGCAACCTCAGTGTCCCTTGCTCGCCCCGCGTTGCACTCCTGCTTGCACCACTCCCTCGGTGCAGTGGCACACCCGTTGCCAGCTACGCTGCCTGCCCTCTTCTCCTCTGGGAGCCTTTGGGAGATGTTTAGTCCTGTGCTGATGTTACCTGGGCTGCTTCCAAGAACAACACGGAACCGCTTCCTCTAGTCCTAAAACTGACACAAAGAATGAAAACTACAGCAGGATTATTTTTAGTGCTCTAAAACTGCAGCTAAAGCAGCAGTGCTGGACTCTGTGTGGCCAGAATTTGCTGTTTCCAATTGTCCTTGGTAGGTAGGAGGTGCGTGTGTGATAGGTGGTAGTTTGGAGAGCAGCTCTCTGCCATTCCTTGACACCCCGATACAGTTCTGGATTGGATCATCGCTGCAAATGGGTTTGAAGTCTGAGGCTGGTTTCCAGTGAACGCTTATCACAAAACCACTCTGTTAAGGAACAGGAAGAAAAGTGCCAGTCAGAGCTGAGATGCGCTTGCAGAGCTGGGTGTGGATGTGTGCAGCTCCTGAGCTGCTGCAGTTGGAGACCAAGGTGGATTTTGCAGGGCTGGTGAGAGCTGGTGGCTGCCACAGCAGGAAAGGCTGCAGCTCCTGCCTCAGCTGGGTGTGCTGGGCTGTGTGGCACACTGGGGGGGGCCGGAGGAGGAAGCTTCCTGCCTGCTTTGTGTTCGGTAGGTCTGCGCTCTGTAAACAGCGTGGTACACCTGAGCACTTCTATTGTGCAGGATATCCTATGTGCTATGCAGCTTCAGGGTGTTTGTATTAGAGCACAAAATGAAAACGAGAGCTTTTCTTGACCAGTGCCATGGTATCTGCTGTAGCCACCTGCCTGCGTTTCCTTTTTGATTTACTTGCAGTGATCTGGTACCCCCAGTACCTCTCAGCAGTCTCAGTGATTTGAAAGGAAGGTAAATGCTTGTGTTCTTGCCCCAGAAAAGCAAGCATGTACCCCACTTTCTTGATGATAAGCAACTTAAATCAGTGTTGTCCAAACAGTACTCCCTCAGGTTACTGCCCCTTTGCTAAACAATGAAGCAGCAGTGCTTTGAACAGCATGTGCTTCCTTCAAGCCCAATTGCCTCCTCTGTATATTCTCACAATTCAGCACTAAAAACTCCAGGGCTTGCTCTTGTAAAAGAGTTGATGCTGGAGTTGTGTCTCCACCTGAACTGATGCACAACCAAGTGCTTACGTCTGTGGAATTCTGCGTCAAAATAGCCACAGAGGCAGGATTTATAACCAAAAATGGTAATCAGCAGCTGAGGAAATCAGACCACTCTTGTTTAGAATTGCAGGTATTCTACTACTTTGTTGTTACTACTGTTAGCAAAGTCCATCCTCTGTCATTAAAAGTCTACCATGACCATCTGTGTTGTGTTGTCTGATCAGTCTCCCTTTGTATCGTTTCCAGCCTCTGCTGATTAGAATCTTGTTTTGCAGAAATGACTTTGTATTGTGCTTTGATAAAGTATTTATCTGACACAGTCAGGACTGGTTTGTTTACCTGATGCTATCTAGGTGCTCCAATTCCAGCCAGCAGTCTAAAGTTCACAGGAGGGAAGATGATTTCAGGGAAATGGAGAATCAGACCGGTGATGATCAGCAAGAGGCATTCACAATAATGTGCTCAGCCAGCCACCAGGAACAAGCCTGAAAAGAAAATAGGAAAGCACTGAGCAGTTTGTTTTTCTGTCTCTTCAGGATGAGATGACCTCAAGTTTGGGCCTTAGCACAAAGAAAGCCCTCACAATCCTGAGAGACCAGTTGTCAGCACTGCTGGAGGGGCATCAGAAGGAACGGAAGAAAGTAACTTCGTGGAAGGTGAGGTGCCAAACAGCACAAGGTTGGGTGCTCCCTCTCCCCTTCTCAAAGCAAAGCTGAGGATTAGGTGGAAGTTGGCTGCGTTCCCTCCCTGCCTGCTGCCGCAGAGTTTCCGGGTGTAGAAATGCTGAAGTCCTTGGGACCAGAGCAAGGAATTACCTAAGGGTATATTTCTCTCAGTGCTTTTCTCCTGATGGCTGGAGCTCTACAGGAGCTTAGCTTCATCTGAGAAGGATCCAAGGGCTTCAAGAGCCACTGGTGGCAGCGTGCACAGGTTGAGAGAAAGGGCTGTGGAACCCAACAGTCTCCCCTTGTCCCCTGAGATATCTGGCACCTACTGAATACAAAGTGCTAGTGTTTATTCACACTCCTTAAATGTTAAAAGTGTTTCTTTCTGAGTTAGTGACAACGAGGCAGCCTGGCACAGAAGCCTTTTCATTCTTCCAAGCAAGAGTAAAGATGAGCGTGTTCACCCAGACTCCCCGAGCAACCTTCAGTGCTGTAGCATCCCCATAACTGCTCTGGGGTGCTCTCTATCATTCTAAGGGGGTTTACAAAGTTGTGTTCACCCTGCAGTGTCTGTTAACTGCTGCCTTTATCCACATTCTGCTTTTTGAAATGCCTGGCTCTGTATTCCACGAATGCTGACTGTTCTGCTGCTCTCCTTTTGTAGGAGGTGTGGAGGAGCAGTTTTCTGTACCATGGTAACCGTTGCTCCTGTTTCCACTGGCCTGGTGCATCTCTGATGCTTCTGGCAGTGCTGTTGCTGCTGTGCTGCTATGGGAGCCAGCCACAAGGGAGGTAAGCAGAAACATCTTTTGCTGGTTGACTGAAGCAAAGGGTAGTTTTATATCCTCCCGGCACTGTGTATGGCTGCCATTTCAGCCTCGTCCCTCGTTCTGTCTAAACGTTAGCATACTCATACTGGTAATTCTGTACCTATCAGTCTCTTTCACAAAACTTCAGCCAAGTTAATTCTGCTTCTGATAGACCCAGAGATTGTTCTGTGGAGAGAATGAGATTTTCATTCTACAGGGTTCCTAGATCTTGAAAAATCCTAAGACATTACAATTGTTCAGAAGGATTTTGAAACCGGAGAAGTCAGTGTCTCCTAAGAGAAGTTACTGTGCTGTCACATGAGCCATAGCATGCTCGACTATTTGTAAAGGTATTTTTGAATCGAGACAGCTCTATTCAAATTTTTCTAGTGGCGTTATCCTAAAGAAGCGTGATCATAGCTTCTCTGCTTTTCTTTTTAAGCCATAATTCTGTGGGATGTAGGAATAAACAATTGAACAAGTGTGCATTTATCTCTGTGGGTGGCTGGCAGCGTGTTCTATTCATTTACTCAAACCTCATCTGCTTTCTCCTTTCTTCTGTTTTGCTGTGCAAAGCCAAGGTGCCGAGATAGTTAATGCACTGGCACTCTTCTTCCTTCTCCTCTTGGATCTCTTCATGATTGGGCGTCAAGAGAGGCTGAAGTGCAGAGAGGTGGAGAGGAGACTTCAGACGATCATTGATAAGATAAATGGTGAGTTCTTATTCATCTGTCATTTGATTTTGTGTTCCCCGCACGTAGGATTTTTCTCCAAACCTGATCACATACGTTATTAATTGAGCTTACTAGCCTTGCCCTGCATTACACAGGCTGTGAGAATTGTCCTACTCATGCCTGTCCTGTGGAATAGCTATTTTGAGCTGTCGTGGCCATGTGCTTCCAATCTGTGTGTTACCAGGTAGGCGTCTGTTATGTCTATGCTTTGGAGTAATTCAAATCCCAAAAATCTTACAAAAATATATGCCTTGCAGCAGATGATGAGAGAAGAATACGTGGGGTTGTACCACAACATAGAACAGAAGGAAATAAATTGCTGTGCATGAACGTCTTCTCAACAGGGGCTTTTGAACTTGAGGAGGCAGTTCATTTCAGTGTGGCAGCTTTAAGGACAGCCTTTAGCTTTTCCATTTTGCAAGTATGTATCAAGGTTATGACTGTTTGGTTCTTTGTACAGGGTGGTGGTGGTGGGGAAAGCCATCAAGGAGAAACAGAAATGGTAAAAGATCAGGGAATGGACTGATCTTAGCCACTATAGGATGTAAATCGATGTATGATTGGCCCTCCCAGAAGTTCTACCACTTATTTCCTTCATGCTGTGTGCTTTCAGATACACTTGTCAAAGAGGTGAAATGGCCAGACTCCATGTACCCGGACCTCCACATGCCTTATGCCCCATCCTGGTCCCTCCACTGGGCCTACAGGGATGGGCACCTTGTCAACCTGCCTGTGAGCCTGTTGGTAGAAGGAGACGTCATTGCTTTGAGGCCAGGCCAGGAGTCGTTTGCTTCTCTGAGAGGAATTAAGGTAACTTGCTCGTCTTGGTTCCCTGGCCTGTGACATGTTTCCCAGGGTTTTCTTGCTAATACTCTAAGTCTTAGTGATTGATACTTCCAGCCTTGAAAATGCTTTAAAACTCCAGTTTAGTCAAAGAAAGTGCTCTGTTAAGACAGACTGAATCTTCCCTAGAACACCCAAACTCAATGGACAGGAGATGCTAATGTGATACCAAAGTACCATATTTCCATCTCTTCCAGGTCAAGGGGGAAGTGTAATGTGCTGCTGATAATAAATGAAATAAATCTATCCAGTAGGATATGACATACAAAACCCCTACTTCGTCCTGTTTTTTATGTGGAGAAATAAAAATTTGTCTCTTTTAGCCTTCCCCTTACTACTGATTTATTATAAAAGAAGGTAATACAAAAAACCTGTAGTAGAAGTACATTAAGAAATCAATTAGAAGATCTATGCAAAGATTTAGCTGCTTGAAGAAGCTCAGAAAAAAAGTAAAGCTTGAGATTTACCTTTGTTGTGTATTGTACCTTTCACTCCAAATGCTAATATTCCTGAAATAGCCAGGTGTGCCTTGTCACTGCTTAAGGCTCACAAGCATTTAATTTTGTTTCAAGTTTGAAACAGAATTTTAACTAATTAATTTTTGAGGGCTGAAAGAACTATGACAAATGCGTTGTGTCACTTGCAGTGGGAAGGATCCTGCTTAACTAAAAGTCCAGTGCCTCGGAGCAGGCTTCCACTGAGGCCCCAGCCGTGCAGCCTTTGGGCTCTCTGACTTCTTTTCTAGGATGATGAGCACATAGTTCTGGAGCCAGGAGATCTCTTTCCACCTTTCTCACCTCCACCCTCCCCACGGGGAGAAGTGAAGAAGGGACCTCAGAATCCTCAGCTGTATCGTCTCTTCCGTGTCTTGAAGACCCCAATAATTGATAATGTCAGGTGAGTCTGACAGCTTGTCTAGGTCCTTGCTGCTGTCTCATGTCAGGAAAGTAAGAGATTTTACCAGTCCAGTATAGGAATTTCCAAATATGTTGTGCTGTCTCTTTTACATCACCTGGGAATTCTAGAACTATAAGAGTCTTACTGTCTGTCTTCAGTTGTCCTCCTTAGCTGATCCCTTAGGCTGATATTTAAAAACATATATATTCAAAGTATTACTGTTCAGCTCATTACTTTTCAGCTAAATGTGAACAATGCAGGAAGGTCATAGATTTCATGCTTTTGATGGCTAGAAATGTGCGTGACACCAGATGAAACGGTTTTAAATCTCAGAGATTGAGACTGAGGATAGAGATTAATTGGTAACTCTCTGGGCAGTGGCATCTTCTGTAAATCAAAGGCCAGGGCCCCGAGGCAATTATAAAATCAATGTGTCCATGTTAGCATGAAAGCAAACCACATTTTTGAAAAACAAGAAAAAGATGTTCGCTTTCCTAAAGCTCTTGAATCTTGGTTTCTCTTCTAAAGGTCCCCTTCATAGCATAGGTTGAACACAATTTTGTATCTGAGGAAGCTGCAGGGTTAGGACCTTGGCTGCTGAAATCTCAAGCTTTCTTTTCCATTTTTCAGGTGGTGTCTGGAAATGGCATTGTCACGTCCTGTGACAGCCCTGGATAATGAGAGGTTCACCGTACAGTCAGTGATGCTGAAATACGCTGTCCCGATTGTACTGGTAGGTCTCATTTCAAGCTTTTGGTGTTGAAAATAGCCGTGTTTTGTCAATAAAGGTGAAGAATTTGCAGCCATCAACAGGAAATTGTGTCCAGGTTCTATCTCATGCAGCTAACTAGCTGACTCTGTGTACGTTGGGTAGTTCAGAGGAGCAAAGATGCTATGCTGTCTAGCAGTGAGTGGATGGAAGAACTGCAGCAGCAGACCAAGTATATCTTCTGTACTTTTTCCTAGTGCTGAGAATCTTACAAAGGAGAGAAAACTCCTTCCCTGTAAGTAGTAGTAATTTGCTGACAGCGTCATCTCTGAATTGCAGGCTGGCTTCCTGATTACCAATGCTGTGCGCTTCATTTTCAAAGCTCCTGGAATTGCTTCCTGGCAGTACACTCTTCTTCAGCTACAGGTAAAAGTGTGTGTTGAGCTCCGCTACACCTTTCCTCCTCAGAGCACCACTGTGACTAATTTATCAGCAACTTGCTTCATCCCATGCCAGCATCCTGTGCACACTGGATCCAAAAGCTCTGAGTGGACAAGACAGTAACTCTACCTTGGCCATTCTTCCTAGACTGCTCTTTAATTTGTTTGCTCTCTCTTGCCATGTATGTATATGTCTGTGATATATTTTGCTTTTAAACTTTAAGAGCTTATGCCAAATTCAGCAGGAAAAACAGCTGCAAGTTAGTGTGATTTATTCATGTCCTGCTTCATTACAAACCCTTAAGTGTGCGTGTGTGTCTTCCCTTCTGTGCTTCTCCCTGCGTTGCACTCCTTCCAGTGCAAGCTCTCCTCATACTTCCTGCTATTGCCTGCTACCTGTCCTCTCACAGTGGTGGAAAAGAGGTTGTGTGACAGATCTGACTTCTTGTTGTCTCTGTGCTTGATCATATTCGGGGATGTTTTCGTTTTTCAGGTGAATGGTGTCCTACCCATCCTTCCAATGCTCTTTCCTGTCCTGTGGATTCTTGCTACAGCCTTTGGAGAAGCCAGAGTCTTAGCCCAGATGAGCAAGGCCTCATCCACCTCACTGGTAGGTACCTCTCCACATCAAACTACATCAGAGAAAAGGGCAGGAGATGAGAAGGGCTCTGTGAGGCGATCACAGTGAATTCAGCAGATGTATTCACATAATCATAAAATGTTGTTGGATCTTTGGGTATCCCGGCAATGTCCTCTTCCTGCAGCACAGCATGGCTTCATGAACAGGTTTCAGTTTTTCAGCCTGTCTACAGATACACCAAAGGTGATAGGAAGCTCCAGAGAATCCGTCACTCTCATCAAGACATATGGTTTCTATCAGCTAAATACAATCTGCTGGAGGAGTCAACATGAAGATAAATGCCACGTGATGGCCACAACTAGGGAACATTTAGCTATGGAGAAGGAATGGGATACACAAGATCCTTTGCAATCCACTGTTACAACCTGTGGGCTGAGCAGCCTTCTCTTGAGGCTCTGGGGCTTGGCTTGCAGGCCTGGCCTTGCCAGTGGTCAGGGAGTAAGAGGAATTTCTGGCGATTGTGCTGCTTTGGGGACTGGAACTTGGTAGTCCGATGGATGTGTGACCCTGAACTGGATGTGCTGATGGGTGTCTCCTGTTCTTTCCCAGTGGCAGTGTTGGTGGGATGCACTGTGCTGTTTGTTTTCTCTGCTGAGTTCTGTTATGCCTGTGCTGGGACAGACTTTCTCTCTCCTTCATGTCCTTCCTTGGTCTCTGTGGCCCTGGGTCTGTTTTCTGTTCATTCCCCTATGGGTTTTACATGACTAGACTACTGTGTCCTGAGAGGGAGGACACATGCTACCTCCCCCAGTGAAGTGTTTGTCCCTTTACCATCTCTTTTCAGTGTTTTCTCTTCTTTACATTTTCCACCCACTCTCTGCATCACATTTTTTCCTTCCTTGGAGCCTCCTCTTTCTCTACACACCTTGCTTTTTGGCTGGGAAAAGCCAGAAATTCTCAGCTTCTCTACTTCCTCATTCTCAACATACCCATTTGCCGTGTCACTCACATTTGCACCTTCCTTGTGTTCTTTCCTATCTTCTTTTTCTTGTCCAGGCAACTCACTCTGTCCAACCAGCTCTTTCTGTGACATCTCAAACACGATCCTCCGTCCTTGTTGCTGCAGAACAACCATTGTGGTGTGTCTTGGTCATTCTCACTCTTGGCTAGGGCAGTCTTCTTTTGGCCTCTCTATTTCACTCCTTCCTCCTCTCTACCTTGTTCAAAATGTAGCAGGTAAGACCCTCTTCCTCTCCAATCACTTGGCCTGTGTGACACTCTTCTCCACTTTCTGCCCCCTCCTACCACGTTGAAGCTGTTTGATTTCCATTTTTTAAGGTCATAGGCAACCTGCGTGACTGGGTAATCAGACATCCTGCATGGCACAAACCAGAGGCCTCCCCAGAGGAGCTTCTGCCTCAGGTTTCATTACTATAGCCAGACTACAGCAGCATTGCTTTTAGAAAGGGATTTGGTATTGGTTTGAAAATATTCGTACTGCCTCTGATAGCTTTTTTCAGTAATTATTTGCCTTCACTGCTAAAAATGGACATTCCATGTCAGAGTTTTTGTAGTATCTGATTTCCAGCCCTTAAAACTTTTAACATCCTTTGCCAAGTCAATAAAATTTCTATTCTATGGTAGCTGCTCACGTTCCCTTTTACTATCTCTTTGGTTAACGGAACAGTTTTAGCACCTTGAGTCACTCTAAGCATATGTTCCAACTCTATAATCTTTTGTCTTTCCTCTTAGCTTTCTCCAGTGTTTCAGGATCACTGTAGAATTATGAATCTCCAAAAACCACAAAATATTCCAGCATCCGATGTGCTTGTGCTGAACTTTGGAATAATTTGGACTTTATGTTCCCTTGTTAATGGCACAAAGGATCATGTTAGATCTTGTAGCCACTGCTTTAAATGGCCATTTTTTTTCAGCTGATAATTTACAGAGTTACTGTGTTCTAAGCTAGAGTCTCATTCTGTATGCCCAACTTTCATCTTTGCTGCTAGGTGTGCAGACTTATTTTTGAACTGTTGGTATGCATTTTTTGCTTTTTTATGAAGCAGTCTGTATTGTTCTGTAACAATGATCTGTTCTCTTTGATATCAGACCCTTCCCCAATCTTTGTATAGTTTACAGTCCCTATCAGTAATGATTTTGTGTTTTATTTCAGGCTATTAATAACATAAGTAGAATTTGGCCCTGCCTGAGCCAGTAACACATCCTATTGCAAATTATTCCTTAGTTTCTGTTCCATTTGGAGATACACCAGAAAGCCAAATTCTAATATACAGAATATGGGACCTGTTATTCTGGTGTCACTGGTTTTGCTAGAAAACCAATAAAGCCCTTTTTATCCAGTCAAAGTACCAAATGTACTACATCAGCAGCATTACTTTTATCAGTCAAATTTGTAATTCTATCAAAAAAAATCACAAGAGCATAATGAGATTTATTACCCATATGCTTGTGGTGTTTGGCGCTGATTGTATTATTCCACTTCTGTTCTTTTAATTTGAGTCTCATATCAGCTGCTCTGTTATTCTGTCTGAAATCAGTCTGTCTGGGGTCCTGTGGTAACTTGGTTCGTTCTACTTGCCCTGATTAGGTATTGGCACCACGTTAGCTTTCTTCCATTGTGCTGGGTCTTAATCCATGCTTCAAGACATATTCAAAACCAACAGTATCAGTCAGAAAGTTGTCCAAGTGTGCTAGTTTAAAACAAATTTAGTTTCAGTAGCTAGTGTTAAAATGGAAAACATTTCATGGTTATTATATGGTATGATTATATCACTGAATGAGGAATAGCACTGTTCAACACGTCTGGTTGCCTGCGATACAATTTGCAATTTCACTGTCTATCAAGCAGTGGACTGGTGTACTTGTTCTTATTTTTATATTAACTTTTATTTCTGTTTTCACTCCCTCTCAAGACCAGACTTTTTTTTTTTTTAAATGATGGGATTGTTGCTTTTTAAATTTTAATAAAATATTGTTAAACAGTTCCTAGATATCATTCATACTTTTCAGTTTAAATAATTTCTGATAGATTTGTCTTGTCTTTTTTTTAAAGCTATGTTAAAGTGATCCCTTCTAAAGTGCCAGATATATGCATTAGTATTTGGAGTATTGTTTTCTTTATATACAAATGGAATTGCTAAATTCACTTATGCCTATGAATCTACTTAAATTTAAACTGGTTTTCAGAATCACATCTACTTTGGAGTTCTTTTATGCTGGATGCACAGTTTTTCAGTTAGTAAATTTTGCAGTGTAATTCCAAGAACCCCATGATAGTGCTCTGCTCTAACTCATTTCTTTTCATTTCCTATCCACATCACCTCATTCCTCTGTGTCTATTGTGTTCCAGGTACCTGCTTTTACAACCGCTCATCTAGCTCCTTTTTTTTTTAACTGACTTGTATAGCTTAAAAACAGTTCAGTCAATACTGGCTCTTTCTATCTTAAAATAACCATCCAGAAAGAGCTTCCTCTGGATCTGATTGCTATTACTTTCTCTGTAGGCATTTAGATAACGACTGTGTCTTTTGTGATGTACAGCACCAAGCACTTTGTGCTTCACAAGTAGATAATGACATAGTCCATTGAAGACTTAATTGCTTTGAGGAATTATTGATCTGTCTTGGCATAGCAGTTCTGTCAGAGCAGGACTCCCGCTTTCTTCTCTCTGAAGGTGTAGTACTTAGGGAAGGATGTTCCTCATGACACATTTCTGAGCACGATTATAGTAACTGGTCTCTTCTCTTGCTGCAGCTTGCTAAGTTTTCAGAGGACACTCTCAGCAGCTACACAGAGATGGTATCTTCTCAGGTACTACTATTATGAATTGTTTTCTTCCAGCTTCACTGCAGAACTTCATGATATCCTTCCCCTTCCTGTCTGAACTCCTGCTTGTTCCTAGACCTTTTTTTGCTTGTGCGAGTTGTCCATTGTCACTCACTTGCTGCTTTAATTTGCTGTGCATGCAGGTTGCATGTCTTCCTCCTACATCCTCCCATGTAAATGCTGCTCTAGTGACCATAAATCGAGGTGACTTTGATACTGAATCCAGCTTTGCTTTTCTGAATATTGCAGATGGTTTGAAATAAACTTTTTTCTGTCCTGAAGAAAGTGCCTCTTTCAAGTCCTCCTGTTCCAGGAGTAAAATAAACTTTTTATGGTCTGTGTCAGAAAGAAGCGACCTATTTTGCTTATACCAGAAACACCTTCAAGACAAAAGTAAAGAGTAGTGAGGATGGGGGTCAGCACCAAGATCAAATGCAGAACGGGGAGCATAGGATGTTCATACTAAAAGTCTGATCCTGTTTCAGAGGCTTCTTAATGAGCTTAAGAACATTACTAATGCTTCCAAATCTGGAACAAATAAACATTGAAAAGACCAGTTTTCAGGGGGAGGAACTGCATCTGGCCACTCTATAAATTGCATCACCCAGATTAAGCAGGTAGGTAGAGGAAAGACACTTTGCTGTCTGATCTGGCATTAAGATTCCCATTTCCATAAGGAGGCAGATGGACTCCAGGAGTGATTAAAAATCCCTGGATATTATAAGAATCAATTTACGTCCTGTTGTTCCCAGCTACATAGGGGAGTGCACATGGATACATATGCTTTCTTTCCTGAATATTTTGTTGTTTTTCTATGCCAGTCCATTTGGCCGAGCTGTTTTTCAGGTATTAAAAATGGGATTTATTTGAGCAGACCTTCCCAGTTTAAAAGATCTGCTTCTTTCCTTTTTGTATCTATGTAACAAGTTTTCTTGCAAGAAACTGGTTTAAACAATAGTGGTTTTTTTTCTTTGTGATAGCTCGTGATTGTTTGCATTTGACCTTATGACTGTACTAACCCTGAGGATCTAAGGAACTAGATCTAAGGAGCTTTGGGGGGAAGTGCTCTTCAGTGACAGCATTCCAGAGCAACAGCTAAAAAGCAGAAAAATACCATTATAATGCAAACCTGGCTTTGCTGGCTTTAGGAGTGCCCAGAGAAAAACATGTAGCTCTGGTGTTTGAACTGAGAGGCTTGCTCTGAAATGTTTTCATGTGGAAGATGTAGGGTGCCACTGTGACATTTTAATTTTGCAAAATATCTCCTTCCTTCTGCTTATTACCTCGTTGATTACAATTCATTTGTAATGATGCAGTAGTCAGGCCACCTTGGCTTCATATCCAACATCACTTCCTCAGTAAGTAACCTTGGGAAAGTCATTTTACCACACTGACTCTACTTACTCAATTTGCAGGGTGATGACCTTGATCTTAGGGCAGAGCATCCAATTCTTTGATCCAAGGAGACGAGGGTTAATTCAGGGAAAAATACCTAGAGGTAGCAGCTGATTCACTGCAAAAGAAATCCCTTCCAAATTCCTCCTGTGTTTTTGGATAGACAAAGGTAGTTTCAGTGAATTCTCAATTCAACAATCAGAATATTTCTTAGAATCCTTTGGAACGGGGAAGAAATGCCTTTCCCATGAGAACATCGGCGCCATATCAGTTAACTGGTTCCCACAGAGACCGATGTTTATCTTACAATGTATCACTGTGCCGAACCTGAAAGCAGGTTATGTCGTACTCCTTTTCTTCCTTCTCTCCCCTTGTCTTCTCTGAATGAGCCTTTAACTGGCTGATGTCCTCTGCTTCCCTTGGCAGGAAATGATACGCTGCATCTGGAGCCACTTCCTCTGTGTTTTAAAAGGCAAATCCCCAACTCTGAGCTTCACTTCCAGCTTGCTCCACAGCCTGGGATCTGTCACTGTGAGTATTGCTGGGTTGTCAGAAGGAGAAGCCCTGCGTGGATGCTCCATTTGCATTGTTCATGCAGTCCTTCCCTGAGCATAGACTATTAGTAATCCGTAGAGACCTCTCAGGCACCTGTCTTTGTAGAAGAGCTTGTAACTGTCTTCTCCAAGCAGCACATTTACAGGCTGAAACAATAGTTAGAGATACTCTATGGCATCTAAAAGGATGTCTGTATGTTCCACAACCCTCTTCTGGTCCTGATATGGTAACTGCTGAAGCACATAACTGCTTTAACAGGTTCAGCAGTTGTTCCCTTCCCATGGTTTCCATGCCTAGTTTTGCAATATCCTTAGATAAAATTGGTATTAAACAACCTATCAATCCTATTAGAGCAGGGAAATCTCAGATTCTGCAGTTTCTTAAGACAGAAGGATGATGAAGATGATCTGTCATCCCATGTATTTATTCAACTTCATGGTATTTGCAACTGCATGTGACCACCAAGACACATTTTCACTGAGATTTTACTTTCTTGGGGGTATTGTGGGTTGTTCTAGGTGCTCTGCTGTGTAGACAAGCAGGGGATTCTCTCCTGGCCAAACCCCAGCCCAGAGACTGTTCTGTTCTTCAGTGGGAAGGTGGAACCACCACATGATAGCCATGAAGACCTGACTGATGAGCTGTCTACGCGGTCCTTCTGCCACCCTGAGATGGAAGAGGAGGTGAGGGACATGGAACCATAATGCAGTATGTTGGCTCTAAGCACAGCATGACTGACATGCAGTGTAGTATTGCAGAGGGAGCTCTTTGCCAGCAGAGAACTCCTGTGGCTGTAATTCTATGCTTAAAAGATTAAGAAGCAGCAAGGATGAGATCCTCTTCTACAGGAGCTGTAAAGCAGTGACTCTTCTTTCCTCTCTCTTCCCAGTTCAGTACATTTTGCTTATGAATTGACAGTGGTTCACGTTCAGCCACAGAATCAACACCGTTCATTTTGCTGGTTTCTTGCAGCCCCATGAAAGAGACGCTTTGCTCTCTGGCTCCCTGGCAGACGCAGTCCATGTGACCAATGAGCAAGAGAGGAACAACTGGGCTAGTGACCCTCCAAAGGCTCCCGACGCCCATGCCCACCGAAAGCCAAACAGCAGAAGCAAGCATCCCTCTGGGTCCAACGTGAGTTTTAGTAAGGACACAGAGGGTGGAGAGGAGGAGCATACTCAGGTAAGACATATAGAAGGGGCGTACAATTAGTCTGTCGTGGAGCTATAAGATAGAAAAGCCTGTAGAGTTTCCTCTTTTGGGAATTTAAATGGGGAATTCTCTGTAAGATTCTGTGCTCAAGCTGTATTCATTGTAACAACCACAATTTTCCTGTCTGATGGACCAGGTTGCCGGTGACACTGATGTGTTGGCTTGTGAGGCTGAAGATTTTGTGTGTGACTACCACCTTGAGATGCTGAGCCTGTCCCAGGACCAGCAGAACCCCTCCTGCATCCAGTTTGATGACTCCAACTGGCAGATGCACTTGAATTCCCTCAAGCCTCTGGGCCTGAACGTGCTGCTCAATCTCTGCAATGCCAGTGTGACAGAGCGTCTGTGCCGCTTCTCTGACCACCTCTGCAACATTGCCCTCCAGGAAACTCACAACGCCGTGCTGCCTGTCCATGTGCCCTGGGGCCTCTGTGAGCTTGCCAGGCTAATAGGTAAGGAGAAATTGGATGAACGGACACAAAGAAATCAGAGCTGCCAATAGGCACTTAATTCTTAGAAAGCACAAGGGAAATATTTTCCAATTTCTTGTTGCTGAGAAGGTGGAATTACAGAGCTGATTCTGCCCTTGTTGGGTTGCCAAAAGAGTCTATTAAAGAGGCTGCTTTTGGCAAGTTCAGACATTGCAGATTCTATCAAAGAAAAAAATTGTCATCAAAGATATTTCCAGCCAGCCCTGGCTAGACTTGGTATTCTTCTGGCTCAAGTCTGACAATCTTATCTGGAGACAAGAACAGCTACTAAAGGATGGATGGCTGCCCTGTCTTTACCAGGATGCTTTACCAGGAGATTGGGTGTAAATGATGTGTAGTACCTCAGCTTTTTTTATGGATAGGAAAACCAAGGAATAGAAGAGGTAAAAGGTTAGAGGCAGCACTAGAATTAAAATGTGAAAGCTCTTGAACTCACTTCTATGCTTGTTCTTCAGTGTCACCGTTCCTTTCTTCAATGAACCAGAAGCATGGAAGCTCTGATTACTAGTAACATCTAGTCCTTTTGAATATTTTTCAATACAGATCTTGAACCATCTTGGTGCAGATGCACAGAGAGCACAATTTACCTATCTGTTTATGGGGTAATGTCAGAATGAGAGCAGGCAAGATGGATGGCAAAGAGGAGGAGAGGACCTTTCTTTTGATTTGGTTACAGTCTCACTTTTCTCCTCCTTGCATTCATGTTTCAGGTTTCACACCAGGTGCTAAAGATCTTTTCAAGCAGGAGAACTATTTGGCCTTGTACCGCTTGCCAAGTGATGAGATGGTTAAGGAGACGATGCTGGGGAAGCTTTCATCAATTACCAAGAGGAGACCACCGCTGAGCCACATGATTAACCTGTTCGTGAAGGACACCACTACCAGTAAGGCTGCCTCTTTCTTTGGGCATCCAAAGAGGGGTTGGGAGATGTGCAGATGGGCATGGTGAGATCTTAAAGCACTTCAGCGAGATTTAAAAGCTTGTCTGTCAGAGCTCTTAGTCTCTTCTTAATATCTTAAATCGACTGAACCTGGCTCTCGGGAGTTGGCATATGTTCAATATTGAATCTGAAATATGGTTACTATGTTGGCCCCAAATTTACCAAGTAAACCGGCTTCTCTTGCCCATTTCTTCTTAAATTTGTGCCCCATTTGCTGCTATCTTACCTTTGTGAGCAAGAATTTTTCTGATGCTAATTCTTTCTTAGTGTAGCTGAAAAACCTTTAATGTTGCCTCATTTCAACTCCTTATCCTCATTTTTAAACGGTTTAGTTCAGAGGCTGGAGCTCAGACGAATACATGTGTGACCTGGATTATGCTGTCTAGAGTAAATTCTAAGAGGAATTTTGTCAGTGAGGTTATTTAACCACTGGAACACCTCTCACATGAGAGTTTTGGCCCTTGAAAATTTCTAAAATGTGTGCAACCAGAAATAATGGATTATGCAGCTATTATGTGAAATCAAATGGCTGTATTTGCACAGAGTCGGAACAGATGATCCTACCTAACCTCTCCTGATTCAGTATTTGTGAATAAATCTTTGAATCCACCCACTCCCATGACATGCTGAAGTCAAAGGGAGATACATAAATTCTACAGCTGTAGCAGAAATAGGAGGTAGCTTATCTGCATGTTTCCTTACTATTCCGTTGAAGTATGTGCCTCACCATCTGGCAGCATTCATCCCAAAACCATAGTAACCACATGGAAATGAGGGGCTCACCAGTGTCCTTGGTGGAGTAAAATGGCTTGGTACTGTCTCTGTCTACCCTTGCTGCAGCTTCATTCTTAGATATATATATTTTTTTTGTTCTGTCTCATTGGCTCATCTCTAGAGGCTTGGTTCTTCCTAACGAGTTCCAGCAGTCATAAATGGATACTTGTCCTCCCTGTCTGTTCATTAGCTCTCTCCCTTGAGAAGAAATTCTGGCCTTTAAGTTCGTGATTTAGGGAGGGAAGAGGCTGAGCTCACTTTGCTGGCAATGACAGCTGAACGAGCTCCCTCCATGCTATGGAGCATGCTGTCACTGTCACTTACCCCTTAGAGGGACTGTTATGTGGGACACTGTTGATGCTGAACGGGAATCCTATAGGAAACGGATTGCAGTTGCTGTCAGGCAGAAATGTAGGTATGTGCACGTGTGTGGTCATCTGCAAGTTCTTGCTCCGTGTCCAGGCCATAAATATTGCATGAATCGATGAACATGTTTTGTTTTCTCTTTCCCAACAAGGACTAACTGACTGCAGGACCAAGGTGGGAAGGATTAGGTGTTTATACAATAAAATTAACCAGAGCCCCACACAAGTACTCCTTTGTGTCCCTGAAACAGGCTCAGTCTTTCACACACAGCTCCTATTTGTCTTGGAGGTTTGTTATGCTGATAAACTTGGCGTGCGATGACTATTTATAGCAGAAAGCAGAGAGCTGCTGTGTTTTGGAAAATCCTCTGGTGTTCCTGAAGGTCCCTGCCTGATTTGTGCGAGTGGATATTCTTGGCTCTTGATTTTACCAGCTAGTGTGAGCATTTGCAGTCAGCAACAATGCCTCCAAGAGGCCTTGGGGCTCATTTTTCTTGGCAGTGATGTTTTTTTCATTAGATCAGCTTTGAAGCTGTTGGGGGCAAAGTCACAGAGCAGCTGGAGGAGGGAACCTAGACAGTGAAGTCTACGTGCGCGCAATGTTAATGTATCAGTGCAAATGAAAGGGAACAGGAAGGGTAGAGGGGAGACAGCCTGACACACTTTAACTTGTGTCCTGTGCCTGGGACCTGCATCAGACAAGCAGCATCACACACCTTCAAGAAACACTTAACACCTCAACCTACAAGAGGGAACGAACGATTTTAAGACTGTATTAAAAAGTAAAGTAGTGTAAGGAAAAAATAGGACAAGCTGTGAGATCTGTTGATTTTCAGTTCTTCCCTGATCACAACGTGAGTTGTTTTTTAGTATGCTTTGCTGAACTTTTGACCCATCCCTATTTAACTCACTTTCAGGACCCTTTGTGGAAAAGGCTGCTACCTAATGCTGCCGGTCACGCTGTTAAATTATCTTCTCTGCTTGAAAAGAAGCTATTCAGGAATGGCTGTTACCCTTTAGATTCACTTCTGGCCCAGTGCTTTCCGTTTCAAGCAGACTTTGACCCTGTAGACTCATCACCGGTGTTGATACTCTCATGAGAACGAGCACACAAGAATATATTTTCTTCTTCCATTGGATGCAGGAGCAGGATTTTTCATCACCTTCTGTAGGACTGGGATTAACACAACATAAGGAAAGAATAGGAGCTGACTACCTGGGTCACATTTTATCACAGCCTTGTTTGAATTCCCAGTTGGACACAAATAGCAGCTGAACACATACGTATCATCCAGTCTTGAATAATTTCTTGACAGGGACTGAAGACTTTCAACAGAGGAATGTGCGTACCTGGAGTGGATCAAGGCAGTTGGTGGGAGCACTGTTTTGACAAATAAAGGAGCAGTTGTTATGAGAACTCTTGCCTGGGATCCTGTATGGGTGATGCTGACTCATTCCATATTCCATACCATGTTCTTCCATATTTCAGGCACTGAACAGATGTTTTCTCATGGGACAGCTGACATCATCCTTGAGGCCTGCACAGACTTTTGGGATGGTACCGATATCTACCCCCTCTCTGGCTCTGACAGGTGGGCAGCTTTGTCATTTGGTGCATTCAGGAACTGCTGCAAAATTGCAGAGGGAACGCGGCCACTCTATTAAAATTCCCTTTACTGATGCTTATGCTATTTAATAGAAGCTTGAAGTAGGTTATGAACATAAGCTGTCTCTGCTTATAATTATTATAATCATAGCAGTGCAAGAGATTAGATGTCAAGAAGTAATCTGTACCATATCTGTTAACATATTAGCCTCTTAGAAGTGGAGCCTGACTGTACCATGTAGCAGGACAATGGATTATAATCGGATCATTCGATGGTGGCAAGAAATTATTTTCTTATTCAAGAAATATCTTACATGAAATGCAAAGTGATCAATTCTGCCTACCATTGACACCTTTAAACCAGTCCTCCACAATGCATCACACCCATTTAGGCCTGTTGTAGCTGTCCAGCATCTGACAGCGTCTGTTGCACATTTTTCTATAGGCTAAATTTCTGTTCTTTGTAGCAGAGCAGACAAACCAGTAATACTTAGTTTCACTGAATGTCAGCAAGTTGTTCTTCTAAGTCTGCTAATCCTCAGGTGTAAGAAAACTCCCACTAGAACTTTTTGGAGTATTTATCATTTTGGAACCCAATGAAAAATCCCATGTATAGTTGTTTGTTACTTTTGTGAGCTCAACAGAGAGAAGGAACTTCACACTATTCTAGTGACTGAGTGTGGACTTGAAATACAGCTCCTAGGACCCAAACTTTGAAAGGGGATAGGAGAAGAGTCTGTTGCTGTAACTACCTCTGCCATAGTTACTATCATCATGTTATTTCCTTCCATGGTGTCTGTCTCACTACAGATAACCTCACTCTGATTAATTCAGTTTCTGCTGCCATGCAGTGAACTTCCTTAGACTCATCTGGCAATCATAGAGGACGTCAATAAGAGCATTCAGAGTACTGTGTTCATACTCATCTGTCTGATGAACAACCAGCAATGTTCATCACCGCCCCTGTTGGAACACTGCCCTACTCCTCACAGAATACATTTTTCCACCTACCCAGTTGGTGACTTCTGCACTGAACTATAGCTGGGATACAGTCAGAAACACAGCACGTTTCTGCTAACTTTGGTCTTTGTCTCTTCCACATAGGAAGAAGGTGTTAGATTTCTACCAGCGGGCCTGCCTCTCAGGATACTGTTCTGCCTTTGCATACAAGCCAATGCATTGTGCCTTGTCCTCCCAGCTCAACGGCAAGTGCATAGAGCTGGTGCAGGTCCCTGGGCAGAGTGCCATCTTCACATGCTGTGATCTCCCTGGGACAACCCCCATCAAACAGAGCAGTCGGAGGAATAGTTGGAGCTCTGATGGTATGTATGTTCTGTTCTGCATGTAATAAAGTCTGCTACTAGGCCAGGTGCTTTCTTTCTGATCAGTCCAGAAGTATAAGAACACTTTCATTCAGAGCAGCAGATGCAAACTGAGAACTAAGGGTTTCTAAAGTAGATGCTTTTCCAGAGGAAGTAATGATTTAGCAGCTGGTAAGTATGTTTCTAGCGTAGCTATTGAAGCTTGCAGAGTTCTTCTACTTGTGGGAAGTCTGTTTCTTAAAGCAGGCAACTGAGAGTCAAGAGTTCTGAGTATTTCGACACTTTGTTATTTGACTAAGTTTTTGGAAATCACATATGCTGTGTTTTCTTCAAAGGAACTAGATGTATGATGGTATGTGACTACTCTCCCTTGATAGATTTGGTTGCTGTGCTGAAGGATATGATTCCCAGTAGATGTAGATTGTACATCTCCAGAACAGCAATGGAAACTGAGAAATAAGCACATACCATTGCATAACTTCAGGAGACTCTTGTAAGACCAGTGTTAATCTCTTTCTGCCTTGGTCTCCCATACTGTAAAATGTAAGTAATAGGGTTTCCAACAGCTTTGAGGCAGTGGTGACTGTTTTCAAAACCCTTTTCAGTCTCGCCTGTGGCAAACTTTGCAACTGTGGGAAGTATTTCATTATTTTGCTCCTCATGTTGTATTAAGCTCCCATTCACCACAGGCTGATGTGGTGATGGTGAAGGAAATCTGACAAAGAGCATTCGCAGGCTCTTTGGGAGTGCCTGCAATGGCTCTGGAGGGAACAGTTCCCTGCATCAGCCCCTCATACTCTGATGCCTCTCTGCCTCAGCCAGACTCATCATGTTTAAGCACAGTATGAGGTGTTTAAAAAGCACATGTGAACATTATGCTGCACACATCCTCTACCTTTCTGCCCCAGTTCTTTGTGACTGATCCCTGTCTTCTGTTTTGTCTTTTTCCTTTCCATGCTGTCTATTTCGTACTTGTACACTTGGTCACATGTGCGGGGATGTTCTGAAACTGCCTCTGTGACTGGGTATGCTGGGACAAATGGATGTCTTCAATTTTCCTTCTGTATGTGTGTACCTGCATGTTTCTGTGTGCCTGGGCACTGCGTCCCTGGGTATTACCATGGTGGACTCTCCCACCGTGGGTACTGTTGTCTGATGCACATGTGGCCACTTGTCTCTGTGATTGCGTGTTGTTTGCATGCCTGAAGAAGGGATTGGGGAAGTGATGGAGAAGGAGGACTGTATCCAGGCTCTGAGCGGACAGATCTTCATGGGAATGGTCTCATCTCAGTATCAGGCCCGTCTTGACATTGTCCGCCTCATTGATGGATTGGTCAATGCCTGCATTCGTTTTGTCTACTTCTCCCTGGAAGATGAGCTCAAAAGCAAGGTAAGCTGTCTTTGCTGAACTCCCTGAACTTGCATGTCCCTGCCTTGTCTGTCTGGAGAGTTTAGCTCCAGTGCCATCTAAGGTTAATCTGATTCAGCTAGCCTAGTGGGTCCAGTAGGTACCTACACTCTGATACGACATTGTCTGCAATACTCTGACCTTGATAGGTACACTCAACTCTTTTGTCTGCTCTCCTGTAGGTGTTTGCTGAGAAGATGGGTCTTGAGACTGGCTGGAATTGTCACATATCCTTAACGCCCAACGGTGACGTGCCTGGTTCAGAGATCCCTCCCTCTAGCCCCAGCCATGCTGGCTCCCTGCACGATGACCTACATCAGGGTGAGAGAACTGCGCCTAAACCACTTTGAATGCCACGCGTTGCCCGGATGGTTCTTTTAAACCCGTTCATAGGGTCCTGTGTCCTCACCAGATACCTGATCCTACAGAGCTTTGAGCACAAAGCTGGATGGGCCTGAGGTGTGTGTATGTGTGAGTGAGAGAGCCTTACATTTACAGCATTCCTACCCAGTCAGTACTGCAGTTGTTGGAAACAAACATCTTTCTGTGCACCAGCTGCCATGATTTTACAACTGCTTATTATCACTTTTGGTTCTTGCTGAGGCCCTGGTCAAGCCACTGAGGGTCAGTCTCTTACCTGTGCATTGCTCTTCTCTTTAAGTGGGATTTCATCTCTCTCTTCTTTCCCTAGAAAAAGAAAGAACAGAACAGATAAACGATTGTGCCTCAAAGCAGAGACTATGCTTACATATCTACCTCTGAGCAGATTAGTCATCTAAAAATATTGCATTTTAGATGACTGAGGAGGATCTAAGCTTTGCTAACCTAGAAAAATCAAGCTTCACGCTTCCTGGCTTCTGCAGTGCCACGTGAATATACCATGTGGGTGGCACAGGAGTGGCAGAGGCCAGTTTGTGCTTATTGTTTGTGATGTTTCTCTGTGCTCCAGTTTCTCGAGATGATGTGGAGGGGCTCCTGCTGATGGAAGAGGAAGGGCACTCAGATCTCATCAGCTTTCAGCCAACAGACAGTGATATCCCCAGCTTCTTGGAGGACTGTAACAGGGTGAGGTCCCCTTTCCTTACACACTTTGCGTTGTTGTCAAGTCAACAGTGTAACAGCATCTCAGAGGGAATTCCTTTTTCAAGAAAATTGATTGACTGGTTCGTGACTGGTTCACATCCTCATCTTTCTCCTCCCACTTGCAGCTTCACAGTAGCCTTGAGAAGCTCATCTCAGTCCATCTGGGTCCCCTTCCCATGTGCTGGGCAGGAATGGGGAACATCCCCACATTCCACGCAAACAGAAGAAACTTTCTTCCCCACCCATGAGCAGTATTAGGTGCTGACCAGCAGTCAGAGTGTGGGACATGCTCTTCTTGCCTCACAGAACACAGACATTCTCAGCAGAGAATACAGAAATATCAGAGAAAGACAAGTTAAAAAAAAAAAATCTATTAGGCCTGTGTTTAGGAAGGAAAAAACATTCTTTTTGCTGCGTGTTATGGCTGCAATTGAAACAATGGATAGGTGGTGGGAGACAACCCGTATTCTCCAACTAGTTTCTCCACACAGGTAAAACTTCCTCAGAAATCCCTGAGCATGGTTTTATGATGCTGATCTTACAAACCCAGAGGGAGAGCACAGCCAGCCTGCCATGGCAGTGGAGAACTTTAGTAGAAGACTTCTTAAAATGGCTTGGGAAAGCCAGGTTTTGTCTGCAGGGGCATCAGTTTATATCTGATCTTGAAGTTGCAGTCTGGGAATTCTAACTTAAGCAGTTCCTTGCTAACTGCCTCCCTCACACACACACTCCTGCTTAGTCTCCTCTTTGTCTTTTTTTTCAGGCCAAACTTCCACGAGGGATCCACCAAGTGAGACCCCACCTGCAAAACATAGACAACGTGCCTTTGCTGGTGCCCCTCTTCACAGACTGCACCCCAGAAAGTAAGTAGCACAAAGCCTGGGTCTGTCCTCATGGATACATTCCCCATCCTTATGCTCTGGCTCATCTGGGTGTGGACATGGGTCAAGGGAAAGGGAAAAGTCCAGAAATGCAGACGGGCATTTTGGTAGTAACGGCCCTCTATTGCTACCTGCGGGGAGGCAACCTTTACTTCAGTACAACTGTTCCTTAGCTACAGAATTGGGCTGAGAGCCACTCCATTTTCAATTTGCATTCATAAGAGACAAAAGCAAACATCCACAATGCCTGTTATTAAGTGTTATCAGTGTGCCAGGAGACTTTGATCTCTGCTTGCAACCCTCGCTTCCTTATTATATAACTCAGAAGTCACTTCCCAGAAGTATTTTTCTCTGGCAGTTGCTGTTAGCACCTTCTGTTGCTGTGCAGAGCTTTTGATTGCAGAGAGCAAAATTGACAGAATTTCTTTCTGAGAAATGCTATTTTAGCTAAAGGGGCTGAGTGCTTAGCTGGCTAATACCTGTCCAGCCTCCAGTAAAAGTGCTAAGAATCGATTTGGCATTTTAGGCACCTGTGGGCACAGCTTACAGGAGTGCCAGTGAGAACCAGCTACAAACCAGTCTGCCTGGCTATTCAGTGCCCAGTAAATTTCCTTTGCCTGACAGAGGTGGCACTTCCCCACTCCATCCAACCCCTTGCTGTGCTGCAGATCTGGGTACACCAGTCACTTGAATAAATTGTTTACACAGGAATCTGCAGAGGGTGTTTTTTTTTTTGTGCACCTAGACTATTCTAGAGAACTCATGTATATCCACAGAGTGCTGTGCACAGAGCTACGGAAGAAAAATTGGATCAAACAACAGCTTTGATTTAGAGTCCTCAGGAGGATGTTAATAAAAAGATTGATGAGGGGTAGAGGTCAGGCTGGGAGTGGAGGAACAGTGGCTGGCTCTGAACAGGACTAAGTATGGCACTGCTTTTGGAGTACTTTGTTTTATTTCCTTTGTTCCTTCAGACTTGGAACAGCAGCAAAGTGCTGCTGAGAAGAACTAGAAAGTGTATTTTTTTCAGATTTGGGTTATTCAACTAAGTTTAATTTCTACGGTTTTCTAACAAGACCCTTTGATGCTGAAGCCATCTGTGTTACACACCCAGAGCTCTGGTCTGAAGGAGACATGCTAGAGGTGCAGGTCTCTGGGTCACACTTCTGGGGATCACAGCTCAGCTCCTGCAGAAGGCAGGTACATCGGGCGCTTGGACTGCAATTAATTAGCAATCTGATTGTGCCCTCTGACTTTGGGTCTGACTACACATATCTGAGGAATACTGACTGGGGTCATTTTAAAAGACGACTGCTTGCTATCCAGACTGGAAAGCATACACAAAGCCTGCGAGCATAGAGATAACGCACTGTGCTTCTCCTTCTGTCCCCTTGCAGCCATGTGTGAGATGATCAAGATCATGCAGGAATACGGGGAGGTGACTTGCTGCCTGGGGAGCTCTGCCAACCTGCGGAACAGCTGCCTCTTCCTGCAGAGTGATATCAGGTGGGGCAGGACGCAGTCTTCCAGCTGCCTTGGTGTGCCCAGCCATGGGACACAGCAGGCTTGGTGACTGTGCAGGGGGATGCTCGCAGTTTGTGTTATCATTAGGTGGGTGTGTAAGGGACATTTGGATGGTGTTGGATGGGATTTTTTTTTAAGTGGAATGACCACCTAGATCCCTTGACACACAGATTTCTCTACATCTTTGAAAGGAAGCTGTTACCCTTATATGCTGAAGTATTGTGCACCAACTGGAATTCTTGTTTGGGCAAAATAATGGCAGCTCCCTGCTGGATCAACCAATTTGTGCACCTAGAGCCACACACCCAAATATGTTCAGTATTTATCTGGAAATAACATCTAGGGGAGATTGATCCTAAATTCACATCCCAGCTCAGAACTTCTGTACCAGCAAGGCAGACAGAGATGGCACTGCATGACTTTACAGGCAGGATTGCAGCAGAGCATGGCTTCTCCTCCAGGATGAGGTCTTTCCTTAACACTCCTATGTTGTCCATGCAGTATAGCACTGGACCCTCTCTACCCATCCCGCTGCTCCTGGGAGACCTTTGGCTACGCCACCAGCACCACCATGACTCAGGCCTCTGATGAGCTCACCCCCCTGCAGCTTTCAGGGCAGCTCAACAGCCTGCCTTGCTCCATGTCCTTCCGCCAAGAAGAGAGTACCAGCATCATCAGGCTTATAGAGCAGGTGAGCCAGGCACACCCCCCTTCTAGTTCTGTCTCTTGCCTACACCCCACTGCCTATAGCTCATGAGGAGCACAGCCAGGAGCCCACGTGAGCATTCTCGTTGAGCTGCCCACAGCAGGTTTGCTTGGGTCTCCTGTCCTTTGTTCAGGAAACACAAGAGATACTCTTCCTGCCTGCTCCTAGCAGTCCAAGGTGTAAGGGACGTTGGGAACAGTACCTTGTTGCACCAGGGCACAAATATCATTCAACTGGATTAAGTAGAAACTCAGAGATCCCTACCTGGAAAATATCAGTACTAGAGAAGTGTTACCCCAGAAGATCCAGGGGGTTTAAACTAACTTACCCCTTGGTTAAATTCTGCCCTTCTATCATCCCTGTATCTAAGCAGGAGACCTTCCCCTTTTGCTTACACTGTGTCCAGATGCTCTCCCCTCCCACTTCCCCCCCAGGCCACGTGTTCTGCCCCTGCCTGCCAATAATTGCTCTTGGCTGATAACTGCTCCCATCAGCGAGGGCTCTGAGGGTTTGTGCTTCCTTCCAGGCACGGCACGCAACATATGGGATCCGCAAGTGTTTCCTCTTCTTGCTGCAGTGCCAGCTGACCTTGGTTGTCATTCAGGTGAGTCCAGCCTGGCTGTGGACAGCATTTAGGTCACAGGACAGGAGTGCTAACAAGGATAATGGGTGGCTGTAGTGGGGCAGCAGCCTTCAGGCAGGTTTACACAGCACATTTGGGAAAAGTTAGAAACTGAGATCCCAGCCTACATTGTCCCTTCTCCCTCACCCTCCTGCAGAGGTTTCTCTGATCCCTTTTTCCCTGGAGAAAAGCATCCCTGCCCCAGCACCCTGAAACAGGTGGAGGGGCCGTGCAGCAGCAGCCTCGTTACCAGCTCACCCCAGTGTTTGGGAGGAGGATGGTGGCAGCTGGGGTACCAGGACCATCCCACACTGCTCATGCTCTTCACTCCGGATTGTTCCCATCCAGTTCCTCTCCTGCCTGGTACAGCTGCCCCCCATTCTCAGTACCACGGACATCGTGTGGCTCTCCTGTTTCTGCTACCCACTGCTCAGGTGAGTATGAGGCAGGGTGGAATCTCCTGCCCACAGGATACACAGACCTGTCCCTCAGCCTCACCAGGGCCATGGTAGAAGGAAACTGACACTGCTCACAGCATGCTAAGGAGGCTGCAAGGGTTATTTTAAGCATCCGCTTTGACAAGGTGCTTGGAAACAGATAGGATCATTTGTGTAGTGCTGTTAGCCCTGCCTGCTGTCTGAGAGCTGCTATTATCTTGTTTGAGCCTCCAGCTGAGAATCATTTTCTGATTTTGACACTGTTGCACTGGCTGGGGTGGGATGGAGAGCACAGGGTGGCAGGCAGAGGTCGATATATACCATAGGTAGATTTTCCCCCTCACACAGTTGGAAGTTACCTCTCCCTGGCTACACTTGCCATACATGAGAACTTGCACAGCACATGCTTCAGGGAGTGGGATACAAGCACAGCTCAAGCAGTGGTCAGACAAGTGCCAGTGCTCCACTCAGAGGAGGTTCTTTGGCTTCAAATGTTAGCCCAGAAAGCAGTTGTGGTGCCTGAACGTGTTGGTAAATACTAACTTCCCTTTCTCCAGCATCTCACTCCTGGGCAAGCCTCCCCACAGCTCCATCATGACCATGGCAACAGGGAAAAATTTGACTTCCATTCCTAAGAAGGTAGGTAGCCCGTCTGATAAGAATTGTTCATCCTTTCTTCTCTTCTGCTTTGTTCCCATGTTGATGCGTAGCTGGGGCCTTGTGCTAAGATGGCTTCCCAGCTCCCTTGGGAAACTGATCCATGGCATGAGCCACACTAGCCAAATCTCATCATGGTCACGAAGGGAATCCCTTAGTACCACTATGCCTGCAGGACAGGTCCACAGCACAACATCCCAAATCTGTACTGCAGCCTCTGATGGTTCCCGGCGGGGAGGTTGGGCCGGTGACGTGCCCGTGTCACTCTCCTGCCTCTCCCTTATCCACAGACCCAGCACTACTTCCTCTTCTGCTTCCTGCTGAAATTCAGCCTGACCATCTGTTCGTGCCTCATCTGCTTCGGGTTCACGCTGCACGAGTCCTGCAAGGAGGTGAACACTACCAGCCACAATCTCACAGCCTGCTCCTCCATCATGCTGCACAGGTGAGGAACCGAGCCTGGCACAAGCCAACACCCTGCAGTTCCTCTTGCTCCTGCTGCTCCCAGGTGGAGCTGAGCCCCTCAAACAAGCTTTAAGCTCTCACATGAGCTGAGCTGGCCATAGGGGCTGTGCAGAAGGCTGGGCTCTCCCTAGCCTGGAGGATTGCACCTTTGGGGCAAAGCCTGGCCTTGCTCAGTCACCTCCTGGTACCAGGACAGCCCACTTTTCTACTGGGAAAAGGCTCCAAGCACACATCTAGTTTGCTCAGCTATCAGAGAGAGGCAGGGCTCTGGTGGAAATGGGTCAGACAGCGAGTCCTTACTGTTCCTGACTTCTTCCCCGTGTCCTCTCATTTATTAGTGATGCTCCTCGTGCTCCTGACTGGTTTGGGACATTTTCCAATGCTCTTCTTGTAGCCCAGAAGCTCACAGCTGGCCTGATTGTTTTACACACAGGTGAGTCTGCTTGCAGCACTCAGCACCCACCCCCCAACTCTAGGGGAAAACTTGCATCCTGTTTCCTTCTGTGCCCCTCATCATGCCAGAGGGCACAAACTGCATTAGAAGTGGGGACTCTGTTGGGCTTTTGACATAAAGCCCCTTGCCTTACTATACATTGCCCTAACAAACTAAAAACAGCACCTTCGGAGCTGAATTTCTCTCTTACCTGCCTGGCAAAGCGCTGGTTCCCTTCCAGTCTCAGCACAAGGGCAGCCTCCACCTTTGCCTTCTTGCAAACCAACTGGCAGTAGCCTGCAGTTCTACAGAAAAGTTCCTTGCCTTAAAAGTTCCTCCACTCCTGTTGCCATGTTGTGAAGCACCCCTCCAGCTGGAAGGCTTTTTATCCCCTCTGGAGGGGAGGGGAGCCAGGCTCTGGCTGACCCTCATCACCTGTGCATGGTTGCTGAGCAGAGCAGCTCCAGCTGCTCTCGTGGAACCCTAAGGGGCCTCTGCTCCCTTTCCACCACGCCAAGTGGTGGCGTGCCTTGGTGCCCAGAACATTGCACGTTGAGATGTGTAGGGTGTCCGGGTCAACAGGTACACCTCCTGATCTGAGGGGCAGCTGTTGCGATGAGGGGTAGTGTGCATTATTTAAGCACAGAAGGCTGAGAACAAACCCCGGTGTGCCTGTAGTAACGCTGTGCAGTACTGCTACCACGGCCCCCTTTGCATATCTGGGGACTTAGATTTTCTGTGGGGAGTCTGGTCTGGAAGGACTTGGAATGAAAGTTTGGTTTCAGGAACATAAACCTCATATTCCTTTGGGGCAATAGCTGCAGGTGTATATTGTAAAGTGATGTATCCGTGTGTGATGCTCAGTAACCCCCTGCTCCCTCTGTACCCGCAGTTTTCATATCCATCACCCACGTCCATCGCACCAAGCCACTGTGGAAGAAGAGCCCCCTCTCCAACCGGTGGTGGACGCTCACTGTGGCTGTCGTGTGAGTATCCCCAGGCCCTGATGTGGAGGGGAGGAGGGCTCCAGGTCCTCCAGCACCAGTTTGGTGGCGCTGAGGAAATTCCTAACACATGGCAAGGGTTCTGCTGTGTTCCCTCCCAGGGAAGCATCCCTGGTGTAAACTCAGGGGTGGTACGTCTGGGCCTGAGCCCTGATCTGCAGGTCCTGGGAAGCGTGTTCGCTCTGCTGAGATCTGCTCTGTCTGTCTACGATCCTAGATTGCTGGGGCAAGTGGCGCAGACTGTTCTGGACCTGAAACTCTGGGAAAACCTCAGTTCTCCGTTGACATTTAACTACGTTTCCATCTCCCCCGTCTCATGGCTCCTGGGTTTTCTTTCCTTGATCCTGGTGGTTATCATCAACGAGATTGTCAAGCTGCACGAAATCAGGTACGGGGGTGGTGGGGAAGATGGAGACAAAGGGCGGGAGCCTCACTGCAGCCTGGCCTTGAGCTGCAGAGAAATAATGCACAGGGAACAGGGTGGGGAATAAAAAGGAAAAGATGATTGCATTGTGTAAATCACCTGGCCATTGTGTGCAAGCTCATGTCCCACCTCTCCGGGAGGAAGCGCAGGGGAGGAAAGAGGGTCAGGGGAGAGCAGGGGCGGTGATTGGGAGCAGGAAGGGAGACCGAAATTTCCTTATCTCCCTCCAATGAGGAGGAGACAGCCAAGGTCTGTGACATACCGGTACGGCTCGGAGAGGGCTGTTCTCTCCATCTTGTCCCAGGAGGACAGGGAGGCGTTGAATCACGGCGGAGGAAATACGTCTTCACACAGTGCCTGAACTGTGGGGCTCGCTTTCACGGGAAGTGGCCGAAGCCAAGAATTCGTAGCAGGCAAAGTGACTGGTGCTCTAGCACAGGGAGCAGCCGGAGCTGGGAGTTAACGCTAATGAGCATGGATTGAGGAAAGGCAGGGGGGTTACAGGGAACCGTGATGGGGACAGGGCCCTCATCTCTGTTCCTGGGAGGGGTTTCTGGGCCTTTCTCTGCTGTGTCTGGTGGCCTTGGATATAGAACTTGGGGTGGGGTAGGTGTGAGACCACAGGGTGCTCTCTGGATTTGATTCTCCTCGCAGGGTACCAGAGGGCCCAGGTCAGGGGCTTCTCAGGGCTCAGGAACCAGAGTGGGGCAGCTTTGCCACATACTGACTCTGCTCTCTCCTGTCTTGTCTCCTCCAGGGTCCGGGTGCGTTACCAGAAGAGGCAGAAGTTGCAGTTTGAAACAAAGCTGGGGATGAATTCTCCATTTTAAAACCTCCCAACTTGAGTTCCCTGGGGCCAGGGGCAGACAGACACATCCTGCACTGGGAGAGCAGCTGCACCAAAGGCTCAGGGAGTTTCTTTCACACATGCAAACCAGACGGCCTCCTTGCAAAACTGCATCAGCACCTTCCTTCCTGGGGGCCTCAGGCAGGGCACTGCCGTCAGGACCCCCCAGCAGGTATGCAGCGCCTCCCTGGCCTGCCAGGGTGCTCTCGAGGGAGCCTGCAAGCTCTGGTGGCTGTTCAGGCTGCTCTTCCTTTATTTATTTATTACTAGAGGTTTTTGTTAGTATCATGGTGATGCTGAAATCAAGTGACTCCTTCCCTCTGTGTGAGCAGATGGGTTTCCTTGACCTGGCAGGAAAATCTGGGGCCAGAAGGGGAGACGTAGGGTTGCTGAGGCCAGAGATTTCTATTGAAACCCATTTTTTTTCCTTCTCTGCCTGCTTTCCTGGATGACGTGCATGTGCATGCTTGCGCGTGCCCTCACCTACCTCCATCAGCCGTCTCTCCTGCACCTCCGGGAGCGCTGGGTGCCAGGTGAGGGCTGGAGCTCACATTCCCAAAGGGACGCTGGAAGGGGTTTTTGGCACCATGCTCGAAAAGCCCCCGCGATGGCCCGCTTGTGCCAGGCCTGCCCTCTAGCGTTGTTGCTGTAGCCTCGTGCCAGCTGTCGAGTACTTCAAGAGAAGGCTGAGGCAGGGCTTTAAGGAAAACTGGCTGCATTTGGCCCTGCTTATAAGGTGCACAGGGAATCAGGAGGACAGCTCTGCCTGCTCGCATGGCCCAGCTTCCTCCAGCCCTGCTGATCCAGCTCGTGTATGCTTTCACAGCCCCCAGAGAGGTAGGATTGTAACTGTCCTCATTTTTGTGATTTGCATTGCTGTTCTGCTTCAGTAAAATGCCTGCTTGAGAAGGCCACGGCAATATTTGTAGCTACAGAGAAAACCTGAGACCTGCCTTCCCCTGCCGTGGAGGGAGGGAGATGTCTTTCCATCTGCATCTTGCAGCTGTGACTAACACGGAGCTGGTGGGCGGCTCCTTTCCCAGCCTGGGACCGTGCTGCATCCCGTACCTGCTCTCCAAGGCACAGGGAAACCCCCCTCATCACACCTTCCTGTGCTAGTGTTTGGAACTCTCCCCTTCATGCTTCTGCCCTCCTAGCTCTTACCTGTTTTTCTGGAGGTCCCTTCTTCATCTGACCTTCCACTGAGGGCTCTATAAGCCACGGTTTGCCCCGGTGCAGCACACTGCACACAGTGCAGCTCCTGTACAGGCCCCAGCTGTACTGGGAGCACTGCTGCTGGTGGGGGCTGACCCTTGGGGGCCAAACAGGAGCACCCAGGCTTGGCTACCAGAATATTTGCAGCTGATGGAGATGCTGACTCTCTTCCTAGTTCTAAAAACTGGCTAAACCTGACAAATCCTGGCACAGTTTTTGCTTCCGATATTAACACTAAATACACGGCTGTTGTTTCCCTTTTGTGTCCGAGGCTACGAAGTGGCTGCTGGCCCTTCCCTGGCAGGCAGGGAGCTGGATGGGAACCCCGGCCCTCCCTGCTGCTCCACCTCGTCTTCCTTCCATTTCAGCAAACGCAGGGAGGACGCGCACAGCGTGTCGCTAAGCAATACCCTTCTGGCTGTGGGTCTGGTAGCAGCGTGGAGCAGGGGTAGGGCCAGCCTCTGCGCTCCGGGGACAGAGGGGGGCTGCTGGAGGGGGTCAGGTGCAGGTGTCTGGAGGCCTGGGCCCTGTTCCTGCAGCTGGGGAGCAGCTGCTTGGGCTCTGCTGCTGGCAGGGCTGGGAGCCAGGCAGGGAAAGGCAGGGCTGCCCTCCTGTAACGCGGCAATACCAGGCCAGTCCTGCTCGCAGTGGGTCTGCTCACCTCCGCCAGCTGGGCTGAGCTCTTCCTTCGCTCCTTTCAGGTCCGCAGGGCTGCCTGGCGCAGGGAGCACACGCTGCCTTTCTCAGTCGCACTTAACTCACTGTGTGCCAGCTGCAGATCTTATCGCTGGCACTTGAGAAACCAACTTGTCTTTCTGATGCCAGGGCCGGCTGGCAAGTGGGCCACGATCTCCTCCATGGCCAAGCTGAGCTGCAGCCAGCGGCAGCGCCAAGCCACTCACTGCTATCCCCGCAGGGCAGCTTTCCCCTGACCTAGCTCTTGCTTTGTGCCACTTAACCGTTGTAGGTGATAAAAGGCAGCAGCTACCAGGGCTTCCTGCTGGCCACACCTTCCTCTAGAGGAGGCGACTCCAAGGTTTCCTTCTCTGGGTGATCACAAACGTTTATTTTCCTGCACCCTCCTTCCCGTGTTAGACTTGGAGGGAGCCAAGGCGTAGGAACGGAGCCGTTGGGATGGTCTCGCCATCGCCACCCTTCCCTCCGCCACTGAGGCACCTGAGGACCAGGGTGAACGGCTTCAGTCAGAAGTTTCCTACATCGAGATGTTTTTAAATGGTGTATATTTTATATTAAAATTTCGGGGATGTATGTAAAAATATTTGATTTGTATTAAAACTTGTATTAAAAAAAAAAAGCAACGAACCCTAACCCGCACACATCCACTGTACGAACGGCAATAAACGACTGTCTTGGTAACACCCCGTGAGAGTGGGAGGGAGTTTGCACCCAACAGAGCGAGGAGGTAAAAATGTGTGTGTGTTGGTCATGGCACAGGTAATGGGGCTCAGCGCTGGGCCAGGAGCACAACCCGAGAGCTGGATTCTCCTGGGATCCGATCCTGGCGCTTTCTGCCAGTTTCTGCCCAGCCGTGGGCAAATGTGCAGCCCTGCAGCCCCCTGCCCACAGAGTAACCTCACTCACCTCCTGTGGCCCCAGTCTGGGCACAGTGCGTGTGGTTGCTGTGATGGTCGCTGCCGACTGCTTTGACTGCGGTGGGGCCTCGGGGTGAGCTGCGACAGGCACTGGGAGCACTGGAGAAAAACACAGCGGCGAGACGAGGAGGCCTCAGCAAAGCAGGACCCAACGCTGGGCAGAGGGGCACAGGAAGGCAGCGCTGGTCCCCAGCGTGCTCACCACCCGTTACTGTCACAATAGTAAGGCTCAGACTGAGCATTAACCTCGCTAGAGGCGACAGCAGAACTCTTACCAGGGAGATTATCTGAGGAAACCCAGATCTTAAGCACTCAAGGGGCAGGATACAGCTGATCCTCGATGAAGTTCAGACAGAGCAGGAGACAAGCTCGTATGATTTGACACGAAGGAGACAACTAGGCAGAACTATCAAAAGGGTAAAATATGCCCCACTGTTTAATAGAATTTAGTCTTAATGGATGTTAGTGGAAACAAAACACATGATCAACACAAACAGAGCAGATGGTTTAAAATCTGTTGTCAGTCTGGTGATTACATGGGCTATTTTTTCCCTCACTGTCTTGCTGCACGGAGCAGGTGCAGCCAGGGTCAGTTAGTCCCAGTTGCAGTGTACATAACTTACACACCATACAGTAGCTTCAAAATAGAGATCTAGAGCTTAAAAAATAGTCATTCTTCTGCAAAACAAATGTTTAATTCCCTTATTGACAATGAGAGCAGCATGATGCCCTCAGGTGGCTCAGACAGCGACAGCTCCACCCCAGTGTCCTCTTATCCCTGACCCTAGAGTACAAGACTTGCAGTTCTGGTTAGTAAATATATATAATAAATCACATTTAAAATATATACATTGGCCTTTAAAAAAACATTTACAGTTTTATCAACATTGGAAAAAAATAACTGGGCTTGCCCCAGATTGACTTGTGAGAATAAAAATCAGTTTTAAAAGGTTTCTGCAAACCTTTCGTTAAAGTGCCACTGGTTGGAGCTATTTTAAAAACAGTCAGGCCCACGGCGTAGCACTTGCCTGTCGGACACGGTCATTTAAATACACTCAATGTGATGTATAAAACAGAGCAACCAACTGGCCAGGGTAGAGGTGTCTTAAATCGCCTCAAACTGACCTCAAGTCCCAGCCAATGATTTTCTTTTCTTTTTTTTTTCTTTTTTTTTTCTTTTTTTTTTTTTTTCAGGGATTTTTCATCTGTGCTTTTCAGCCCAAAGCCAGGCTGGCGCCTCCCGCCGGCTGGGCCCATGGCACAGCCACTGCTGGAGAGCCCTGGGGACCCATCCAGGCGGGCTCCGCTCCTTCCTCAGTGCAGGGAGCTGCGAGCAGCCAGAGTCAGTCACCAACTCCCCGGAGGCTGGGGAGCACCCGCCTCTTTGGCCACCTCCTCCCTTTCCAGTTTGGTTTTGTGCGGGTGATTTTTTTATAAAAGGGGTAAGGGTTGGAATTTTTTTTCTTCCCTTCGTCTGGAATTTTTGTAACAAATGGCACTTCAGTACAATCTTAGGTTCCCTTCTGGTGCTCTGATGCTTTCATTTGCTTGGCATGCCGAGCGCAAGCCAAGTTTGGGGCTCTTGGACATATTTAGACATGCACTACTAAACAGATCCTGCTAGAGAAATCTGTCTTCAAGCTATGCAGCCGTTCCTACCGCTCGGATGCAATGAGCTATCACTGCTGTTCCCCTGCTGCAGCCACGGGGCTGTGACTGCATCCAGCGCGTATTTACAGTAGCTGTTGCTGAGCTGAATTCACCCCGTGCATGCGGGGTCACCTCTCCCGCTGGGTTTTAGTGCGGCGAGGAAGCCTCGTGCGCAGTCCCCAACGCTGCCACCGCCTAGCGACGCTCGGGGCTGGGCTTGTGCCAGCGCCTCCCTGCAGGGAGGGGCAGGGGGAAAAAAGGGGCACCCCCCAAAAAGAAAGGGAAACAGGGGAGGGAGAAAAAAGAAAAAAAAAAAGAAAAAAACAAAACACTAACCGCTCTGCTACTTCTTCCCTGGGAGCACTGGGGCAGTTTGTGTAGGCACGGTGTCAGCAGAGGGCAGCCTCAGCCTGGCAGCGCGATGCAGCAGGACACTGGGGCGCGCAGCCCTGAGCGGCCTTTGGTGCTGTGCAGCCATCCTGCGGGGGCCCCGCAGCCAAACTCGGCTCTGCGGGAGGGTTCAGGTAGCCCCCCGCATCCCGCAGCTCTGCGGGCTGTGCCAGGCCCCTCCTGAGGGGCTGCGGGTCCCACCGAGGGATTTCGGTCCGCTCGGATTACACGCTGCCCGACGCTGATGCGTTTGGAAAAAGCAACACAAAAAGCAGGGAGGTTCCTTCTCACTCCGTAAGCTGCCAAATCGCGACAAGCCCTGGCTTTTAGCTGCTGTCAGGCCCTGCCGGGGCTGGGATCTGCTCAGTAAATAGCCAGCTCCGTGGCGGCTGCCCAGGGAGGTCTTTCCTTTGACACATTGTTGGCAGGGGATAAATAATGAGAGGCAGGACTGGGCAACGCAGTGTGGAAAGAAAAAGGTCCCTTGTGGAGGCTCCTCAGCGCTGTGCGAGGGCTTCTCTGCGGCCTCCGGGACCACAGGCGCAGCCCCTCGGGGCTCTCCTCCTGCTGCCAGTCCGGTGGGAAACGCCTGACCCCCGCGGCTGGGCCGGGGCGTGCGACATGGAGCCGGGGGGCTCTGGGGCCGGTGACACGGGGCGGGTGAGGAGGGGCGGCCACGTTCCCGGCCGCGGTGCAAAGTGCAGGGAGGGAGGCAGCTGGAGAGACCCGGAGGCACCGAGCGGCGCTGGATCCGCTCTCCCCCCGTCACCACGGGCACTGGCAGAGCAGCTGGAGGCGGGGAAGGGAAGGAGGGAGCAAGGCTCAGTCCAGCATCGCGTCCAGCTGGTCGGCCAGGTCATCGAACATGTTGCTGATGTCCTCCAGGATGTTCTTGGCCGAGTGCACGGCCCCGGGGGGGCTGGGGAGGGAAGGGAGAGCTGGTTAAATGCTGCCCCAACGCCTGAGGTGCCGCCTGCCAGGGCTGGAGGCCCCCAGCTCTTTGCCTGCCCCCGCTGGGGGCTCCCCAGTTTCGCTCCCCAGGATCTCACCCCAGCGTTTGCCTCTCCCCCAGCGCCACCTCACCTCTCCACCTCCTCCGCTGTGATCTTCTTCTCGGCTGCCTGCAGCGCAGCAGCCAGGCTGCAGTTGGTGTGCTCCAGCCGCTGCTGGGCCAGGGCGGTCCCCGGGGCAGTGGCCAAAGGCTTCGCCGACACCTTGCTGCTGGCCTCCAGCGTCAGAGGGCTGGGAGCAGCCAGGGACCCGACCACATCTGGCACCGCCTCGGGGGCTGCCCAGGGAGCGACGGTGTGGCGGGAGGGCTGCAGGACCTGCTGGTAGATGGTCTTGGGCCCGGAGAACACCAGCTTGGTGGACGCCACCGAGGTGTGCTTGGTGGGGACGTCTGCAAGGGAAGAAGCCTCGTGGCAGGCACTGGCACGGGTCCCCCTCGCCTCCTGGCCAGCCGGGGATGCTGTCCTGCCCCGGCAGGGGAAGGAGGGAGCCTCAGGCCCTGCCACCGCCTCACAGAGACCCCCCCGAGTCCCTGTACCTGGAGCAGGTGTCCTCACCACGGCAGTGCCAAGCAGTTCCGTGGGGCTGGGGGCTTTGGTGGGGCTCGGCGTCTTCTTGATCCCCTTCTCCAGCGACAAGATGCTCTTCTCTATCTCGGCGATCCTGAACTCCACGCTGTCGTCATCAAAGGTGTCTCCAGCCAGCCCGGCCCGTGGTGCCAGCCCAGTGGTGGGGCCCACGATGCTCACAGCCTGGGCCTGGGCGTACTGGGGCGTGGGGCTGCCGCCCACCTCCGCCTGCCCCGCCAGGCTGAACGCCTTCAGCACAGCCTGCAGCGGCTCCCGCTCCTTGAAGCGGGGCCGGCGCTTCACCGTGTCCGACTCGGTGAGGTTGAACTCCAGCACGGGCGGCTCCTTGGTGGTGGCGGGTGCCGCCGGCTCCTTCCCAGCGGAGCACGGGGGCTCTGAGGGCTGGGAACTGGGCTCTGCGTCCTGCACTGCCGTGTCGGCCTTGGGGTGCCCAGCAGGCTTTGGCCGCTGCTTGATGGTTAAGTTGCCTTCTTCTGCAAAGGGGATGCACTCGCTGGAGCTGTTCTGGGAGGATGAGGACACCTCAGGCTTGGCCTCCTCCTCCGTGTCTGAGCAGGCGTCCTCCCGCCCGACCTGCACAGCCTCCGTCATGGGAGCGCTGGGCTCACTCAGTGTCCGTCTCCGCGGCTTGCTGCTCTCAAAGGCGTCCCTGCCAGCGTCAGCAAGCACGGTGCTGCCGCTGTCACCCCCATCGTAGGACCGATCGTCCACACTGGCCCTAGAGAGAGAGTCCTGAGCCACATGCAGCGGTTTTGGGGCCAGGAGGGGCTTGGGTGGGCTTGCCCCGGGTGTCCCCTCCAGTGCAGCTGCCAGGCTCCTCACTGTCCTGCTGCGACTGGTGTCACCGGGGCTGGCGCCCGCATCGACCATGTCCTGGGGGACAGGAGACTGCTGCTCGGGGTCGGGGGGCTGCTCGCCGTTCGCTTCGGTGGTGGGGGTGCTGGAGACGGAACTGAGACGCTTGGGAGGCGGCGGCGGGGGTCCCTTGCGCTTGGCCCGGATGGCGAAGGACTGGCTGCGGGTCACTTTGGCCTCCGCCTGCAGGCAGGCCCGCGGCATCTGGCTGCGGCCCGGCCGCCGCGTCAGGGTGGCATAGGAGCCCAGGGTGCTGGTGGGCACCCCCTCCTC